AAATATCAATAAATGATAAAAGTAAATAGTAAACCATGCACAAAATGGCGGAAGCTTTTGTTCTGTTTCCTTTTATTTCAAATGTCTAAAACAATTTGATGATCTGATCCGAATTTTGATCTGAAGGTTTCTTTAGTTTCCATGCATGATCTATGGGGATTGTCAATCATTAATATTTCAAGATACCAGTAACCAAAAGTATCCAACCAACCAAATGCTCTTTTCATTTAAAGTTTTGACTACAACTTGTGAGTGATTCTGGGATACCGATTGTTGTCTTGAATTGTTAGCCCACATTTAAAAGCTCTCTGAATATGATTTGGTTGGTATAAATATGAATATACCATAACACAAGCCAAATAAACACGTTGGTGTAGATGCTTTAGTAATATGCGCATTTTATTCAGATGGTATGTAGCGGAGTTACTCGGTCATAAGATGAACCATTTTCCCCCACTTGTCAGTTGTATCCATCTTTCTGATACCATCTGATGGCACCTAATTCATCTACCGTTTCAATTTAGATGTTTTAAAACAAAAACATTCAAAATTTCTCTTACTTGGACTGTAAATAATGGTGATTCGTATTTAACACTGATTGCAGGAAAGAGTCATAACTAACCTTACATTGAAATATTCATACTCAATATTGTTGTTATCGATTATACCTTTATTATTAATATCAAATATTTAAAAGACAATTATGGCCATTGATACAATAGAGAATGTCTGAAATGTCTATTTACCTGAAAGGACTAACAGCCGTAACTGGCTATTATTAGTGTCAATATTTAATAAGAAATTCTGTTGGCGTAAAGGCATATACTCGTCTAATTATAAATTTGATTAAGGGACTGATATGAATTCTTTAATCGTTCGAGCGTTCGAGTTGTCCGTTAGCAGAAGACACTGTCCGTTTACTGTCGTGAAAGTGATACTACGTCTTAGAATGAACATAAAATTTAAGTTCTCAATATGAGTATATATTCATCAGTTGGCTTACATGGTGTCATAAAGTTACAACAGAATCCCTGTAAAATCTGGAAAATTGGAAAATTCACAAAACTAAGTAACTATTGAAAAACGCTTAATCTTGATATTATGCGTTTTTCAATAGTTAATTGCATATTTATGGATAATTATAAAGTTTTTTGGATTTATCAGATTATATAAGGATCCTGTTATGTTATTTATGACACCAGGTATATCTACTAGCTCTTATTGGTCAAGTTTAAAATTCTAAAATTTTATGTTCATTCTAAGACGTAGTATTCCTTTAACTTTACTGTTATGGTTCCAACAATATTGGACACGCTTCTCTAAAAGAACACAAAATCTACTTTCTCACATAATTCTTTCGTGACTTTGGACAACATCCCCATAATTCTGCAAACTTGAAAAAGAAATTGCAAAAGCATACACTATATAAACTATTGAAGCCGACGATGAGCTATGTAAGGGTTCTATTAGCATGAATATTTAGTCATAGATCCTGAAATATGTAAATCAATAATATTATACTGATATGATTTAGATGATATTATATTATTCTTATTAAAAAATGATTACTCCATTGTTCGATTATCTTAACTATGATCATTAGATACTTGAATTTGCAATTAGATTTAATGATATGATCTATTTCTAACTTTGACTTTTGATTCGGTCAATTAAAAACATGAATTCGCAGATCCCTTAAATTTCTCAGAGGTTGAACTATTTTCATTTTGATGACAAAAAAAGTAAAAAACAATGGTAGAGTGACATCGTGTGTTCTGCATTATATACTAATCAATAACCAATGAAATAAAATGGCGATTTGTGCTGGTATAAAATTATGAAAAAAGAAGGTAATATGAGAACATATATATTGAAATAACATGTTGTAATCGATTACAGAAACAATATTGACCCTAGAATAACATCAACATATCAATACATCTAGAATACGATATCAAATATTATTTTGTATGTTTGCAGAGTGTATGATTTGGTGGCTTATCTCTTCATATTAATACTTGAGCAAGCTTCCTTTATCACTGTAGATGTTCCTTTCTAGAATCACAAATCCTTAACATCAAATTCTTCAGTAACATCAAGACTCTATTTTGAATCGCCTTTTGAAATTTTTGGAAAGACTAAAATTCAATTGTCTTTACTAAAGTCCCAATAAAATGCTCAAAATATTCTTTAATCACTTTCTGTTTTTCTGCCTTCAGGAAATTTCCCGCAAAACTATTAAATTATTTAAAGCTTTACAAAGAGGCTGACGAACCAACCTACCTAGTGTAAAAGAAACTGTGGTCATTTCTACTACTTCTTGCCCATAGAAAAGCGAGCAAATATGCATATTTTATCACAAATGCATAGCCAGTTCAGTTATTCTACTTCCGTGTTAAAATTCAACAAACATAACTTTGACCTAGAAGTAAAACAGATTGCCATGAAGACTAGACTAAAGTTTAACAGGGTGTATTAAAGTTGGGATAAACTTTTAAGTCACATTGACATCTGAATCTCGTCTAATCTTTTTGATATACAGAACACTGACAATTTATAGTCTTTTATTAAAAACAATCCATGTACTTCAACTTACAAACGACTATTAAAATGTTAAAACTCTTATGAAATAAATGTTTGATAACTAATCTGGTACTCTGGGGATCGATCTCGGCATATCTCGAGATGTCACCACTTGTCAGCGATATATGCTGTCTGAGGGGATAAGGCCAGTTGGCATAAGGACCATGTTCTTGAGATCAAACCAAATTATTAGGCTCTGTGTTCTACAGGCTATGCACAATTTCTTCGGAATAAAAAATGGCACAGAATAATAAGACGTAGTCAGATTCGCCCATTACTCATTTAGAAATGACGTTTCCTGCTGACATATATATGATATATTTGATGTAAGGTTTATTTTTATAGAACTAGAGACCTTGAAGGACCACTCATAACCAATACTCTGTACCTTGAGGTGCCATGTATGTAAATTATCTAGATATTTATAACTTACTATTAAACTTTTAATAATGTTTACTCAAACAATAAATTTACCTTGACAGATTATAATGAAGTGGTCTATATATTATGTCAACGTGTATTTCTAAACAATATTTATTGAAATAGAATCTGATATACTTTTCGTCTAGAGTTCTGCACCTTATTTGGATAATGTAGACGATAAATGCTGCACAACCTAGAGTAACATTTTTCCGAGAAAGGAATATTATTTTGATGGTTGATCTTAACAGCCACAAGCCCTTACTAATTACTACTTGCATAGTGAAGCTGTTCAAGATGCAATAGAAAGATCGAAGAGTCAGATCGCCGATAAGTTGACCTTGACAACCACAAGCCCTTACTTATTAGAATACTTGCCATATCAACTGTCCAGATGCAAAAGAGTCAGACCGCCCACAGATGTCGTTTGCTTTCATTGACAGTTTCTGCTATATAGGAGAAACCGAAAATTAGATCATACTTTCAGTGGGTTCTCCATACATGAGTACTTAAACTTTTAAAAGTTAGATAAGAGTCGATATAATAAATCGACCAGTTTGATTTAGTAGACTTTATAAGTAATAATTTGACCAACAATAAACACCTGAAATATATGACCATACTTGACACCAATAAAATACTTCAGAACTTGAATGGAATTTTTACAGGCAATGACAGTTATATTTCTCGAGTTTTATTGGAGTTCTGGCTTGATTGAGATTGTTGCTCAGAAATGAAGTGACTTTTTGTTGATTTACAACTCTTCTGTGCCCCTTTTTTGAACCATTATTAGTAAATAGAGACAGCGTCAGACAGAGTCGTCTTTCAAAAAAATCCGTACAAGCAAGACAATTCCCACAATCAGAAATCTAGTCCAAAGAATGGTCAAATCGAGAGTAAAAGAATAAAAGAGAAGTACCATCAGGTGTTACGAAAAGAGTGAGCATGTCCTGCTTCGTGCGCGACACCCGCCACTGTACTATAATAGTTAAAATCATGAGATACATCAAGGAGTCGCCCATTTTTAAAAGTCTTGAATTTAAAGACTGGGTGTTTTATTTAAATGTCCTTAGTTATACGTTTGAAGGTTGGGAATAAAAAGATATTGTTGATTTGATTTATTAGGGGTTACTAATAGGGCTGACGAATAAACCTAGATTATATATAGGCTTATCAGATAGGTTAATCCGTGGTATTTATTGACTATAAAACGTTATTGGTTCTTGTTTATAATCAAATGAAATATTATTGAATTATATCTCCTACCTATTCAACTAAATCAAATTGCTCTGTAGAATATGACTAAATTGTTCTTTGTGATCTATATGTGGGTTCTTAATTCGTCTAAATATATTTTTTTTTTCTGATTTTAACACTACAGTATATCTTTTCAAAATTAAACTACAGTCCGATCCATTTTTTATTTATAGGAAAACATAAAATTGAAATTGAGAGTCTTAGTTATTGAAATTATCAGTGCCGTCACTTCATCATTTTTGAATGTAATTTAGACATAGACGACTGATGGTTAGGTCTATTAGATAGGAAAGCAAATATTCAGATGAAATTATTTCTCTTAAGATAGAAGGAAGTCAAACAAGAGAACTAATTTATTGAGGCTTTTGTCATTGTATGATTTTTATGATACACTCTTTTGGAGCATTATGAATCCAAACATGCTGTAACACAGCATTGTAATGCTATCAATGTTATTGCTATCATATAATATATTTTAAATAATGCTGTCTAACAAGATACATACTAGGACAGGCCTTCGGCAGAGAATTTGAGAGCACAGTATTTTTGGGTAAAAATTTAGGCACTATGCCCGGACTGTCCATGATATGCTCTCCTTTTCGCCCTTTTAATATTGAAGAAAGTTGATAGTAGCTCAGCAAACAATAATGGTCAATCATAGAACTATCGTTGAAGATTTTTATATAGTTTATTTATGGTGTAAACATGAAACCAAATCAGCATTTGTCGTATCATTTCAGAGGTGATGTTGAGAAAGCAGATTATTTAGGATTTACAGCATTACACTTAGCATCGAAAGGAGGTCATCTGGATGTAGTGTGTTTCTTAGTCAACTGGGGCTGTAATTTATATGCATTAGATAATGAACAACATACAGCTTTGGATTTAGCTGAGTTAGTTGATAAACAAGATATAGTTAAAATCTTAGATACAGCAATAGATAAACAGAATACAAAGAATCCTAAGGTTTGTTTATCATTTTGCTTTATTAAATCAATCCATTCCAAACCTAAATGTCATCAGTTGAAATTTTTAGTGACAAATTATTGAAAATAATGATAGGACCCTTATCATAGCTCCCCTAATGTTCACTCTCCGGTCAATTTGTTCTTGTGACCAGCAAACCATTCAACTATGTGATAGAAAAATTTGAAATATGTTGGCGATTGCATGTGTCAAAGTAAGCAAACTATTTGATTAATTGGTGTTTCTGATGAATTATCATGTATATTTAATCATACCATTATGTTCCTATTGCATATAATTAAGAGTTTTAACCAATCGTAAATGTCCATGTATGTACTTTTTTTTACCTTTTTTGGTCTGTCACTCATCGTAATTCTGCTGGTATTTCTCTTCAATTTAGCAAATGGTGGTCATTAGAACACCTCTATTTTCTATTCATATAAGTATTAACATTTTCATTTCCATAAATGATAATAAGGGAACCCATCTTTAGTAACAGTACATAAATTATATTTGCAGAAAGTCTCTAAGTTAAAAGAGGAAGCAATACGTTGTTCTGACAGAAACCGGAAGTTGTATGAACGTCTCCAAGATGAGGCAGCAAGAAAAGCAGAAAAGGAGCAAAGACAACGCGAAGCAGAAAATGATTTTCGAGCTCCAAGTAAACGGTCGTTCATTAAAACTTTAACCATGAGAATAAAAGGCAATAGTAATAAGCCTAAATCTATGCATATTAAAAATCAAAATTATTCAAATATGGCCGGTGTGGGCGTAGCAAAACGAGTGTTACAAAAGAAAGCAATGCCAGCTGGTGATGAAGGTTTTAAAGTGAGTGAAATGGATGACAGTGGAAAGAGAACTATCAGGTCACTTCAAGGTGGTCATGGGATTATCAGTGGAAAGTCTCCAAATGTCATGTACATGACCAACAGGGATCATCCTGACGCCGAAAACACCTCAAACCGACCAGCTTTACAAAATGTTTTTGGAATGAAATCGACAGCTGGTTGGAAGTCGAAAAGCGAGTCTGATTTATTATTTGATTCGGGAGTTGAAGATAGTACTTACAGTGATCCAGACGAGGATCGGGAGACACCTGGATTGTTCAGTCGTCCAGGATTTGGGAATACGGCATTCCTGGGAAACAACGCATTTGTTAATACCATGATGCATTCTTTCGAAAGCGGAAGCGAACCAAACCTAAACGGACACGTCAGTCAATACGAATTTGATCAGGCCTTGCTTGAAAATGGTGAACGTGGCAACCAGTCTGACATGAATTTTCTCCCTTGGGATCAAGAAGAAGTTGAAAATCTGGATGATGATGAATACGAAACAGAGTTTTCAGCATTGGAGACGTTTTTAGTATCGTCAGGATTATATAGTTACACAACTTATTTTACCCGGGAAGAAATTGATTTAGACGTTTTAATGAAATTAAATGATAGTGAACTGAAAGAGCAACTTGGTTTACAACTTGGTCCGCGTAAGAAACTTCAGGAAGCAATTAATCGCCGAAAAGAGCTTATCAATACGCCGAAAGCAATCACAGACACTTATTTATGAAATCTGTGTTATTATATTGATCGTTGCATAAAATAATAATATTAGAACGTATATGATCAAAATTAAAAGCAATTCTTACTAATAAGTGAAACAATAAAAATAACAATGAGTTATTTTACCTACATTATTTTTACGGAAGTTTTCCTGTTTCCGCCATCGAAGAAAAAAAACTTAAACGGAACCTTTTAAGGGAATAAAGACGATAACGTTTACTTTGATGACACTCAACTCTGTGACTCCAAGGAAATACCAATGTTATAATTCTAGCCTCTTATGGCCTGACAATTGTGAATGGTACATGTTTGGAAGAATCGCATAAACACATAATGATACATGTGCTTAGTATTTCTCTTAAAGGTTTTTAAATCCTTACAATATTACCCACCTACATAACGCCGTATTGCTATAACTGTAACGTTAAAATCAAACAATATAAAAATTCAAGAAGTTTTATTTTGTATAATATGATGGATATTTGTAATGTTTGAATAAATGTGATTATGGAGATATATGAAACAATACGGACAAAGATTGAGATATTAAATTATTATGCAATATTTTTTTGTTTTCATTGATCTCATAGTATTCCAAACAAACTTTAAACCACTATATACTTTAACGACACATCGAAAAACAGTAGGCGCTGTGATTTTTGGCTTCCCATACTAGTCTAAAAAATACTCTAAATCTTCAAATGACGACGACAAACTTGCATATAATGACGCTTCTGATTAATACAATTACTTCTGGGTCGATGAACCAAAATTAACTGCAAAATGAAAATGGACATCTAAGGACAGATTTCGCACAAGTTTTCCGAGCCTTTTTGTGCATTAAACTCATCTCCACAATTTCAAACTATTACTACCTTCGACCTTATACTTTGACTCCAGTAATCGTCCTTCTTGCATCACAGAATGCGGCGATTTTATTGGATTATACGCCAGCGAGAAGTAGACAGAAAGACTGTAGACATTATTTGCTAGCACTCAATTAAATCACTGCATTTACAAACCTCCGTGATACAAGAAAGGTGGATATTTCAGTCAAGGTATAAGACGAATAGTTTGAAATTGGGAGGATGCATTTAACGAAGCTTCACAATTTTCCTTCATCACCATTCGGTCTTAAAATATGATGATAACTGTCTGCCTTAGGATTTTTGAAAGAGTTTTGTCCCCTTAGCTGATTATAGTCGTCCGTTTCCAACTTGATATGGTTGTAGTCACTATCGAGTATTTTAGGAGAACTGTCATTAGATAACACAATATGATTGTAACCACCACTATCTAGTCCGACTTGACCATTAGCAACTGCTGATGAAATATGGTTGTAATCACTGAATTGGTTAGTCTTTACAGAGTTATCTTCCCTTAATACATTATAGTCATCTGTTGGGTTCGGAATATCAACATCATTGATTTGCTCGTATTGGTTGTTTGGAAATTCTTCAATCGTAAAATAATGAGGGTTGTTTCCAATATTTGATTTTGGGGATTTGTTTTTTTCCATTTTAAATGCCTTCCGTTTTCTAAAACAAAATAAAAAGTAAATTATGATCTCCATATTCAAAATTATTTTCATCAAATTTTTGAAATTGCAATTTCTTGGTCGATACATGTATCCAACCAACCAAATGCTCTTTTCATTAAAAGTTTCGTTTACAATCTATCAGTGATACTGAGTAATATTGTCTTGCCCAGTCTGGAATACCAATATGGAAATGGGCTCACTTTATCATAGGTGAGTGAAATACTTTAACGGATGCCTCTGTTATATCATGGTCGTCGATGTATTTTCTAACTAGATGATAGAACTTGATTTCAGCTATCTGAATCACGTTTCACACATAAATTATCATTCTTCTAAATTTCAATTAAAACATACTGCGCCTATATATGTAAACTGTTGTCACTAAACAATACAAGCAGATATTATAGGATGTTTGAGGATCAGTAAGAACTGAAAAATGTTATGGATAACTAGAATTGCCTACATCTACGTTCTTCAATATAGGTACACAGCTCGAATTCACGTAAACAAAAGTAAATTACACCATCCCGTAGACAAACGATGGATTTTTCTTACCTGTGTAGTAGGACTGCTATAAGTATAATTAAGACTAACAAAGCTAAAGATCCTATTGCAATGCCAATTATACTGCTTGTATCTGTAATGAAAGCAATTTGAAAATGAATGCATATTTTAAAACATTGAAATGTTCCTAAAAAAATAAATGCCATTTTTGGAAAATCGCACAGATTGCAAAGTTGGTCGTGAATTTGACAACTCTATTAACCGATTCTGACCGTAGCACAATTTGGGTAGGTATTTGTCGATTTTCTATTGTTCAGTAAAATAATATCTAGAATATAATACCTAAAATAGACAATTCTTCCTTATTACCACCCCGAACTCGTGGTGAACTTCCAGTTGTCCTTGTCTGTACTCGTAATGTGGTAGAAAGCGATCTTGGATTTGGTTGGGTTGTTGAAGTGGATGGACTTGTAGATATAACAGGTACAGTCCTGGTTTGTGTGGTTGTTAATCTAGAAGTACTAAGCGGTGGTGTGGAAGTTTGAGTCAGTCGCCGTGTAGTAGTTAAGGGTGTAACTCTCCGGGTTGTAGTATCTGTTGTTCCTGGACAACCATTGACTATTTTCACTGAAATATGAATAAGACATAATGATGATATTAAAGTGTATTAATATGAAACTTATTCATTTTTCAAAAGCAAATCGTAAACGGCTAATGTAAGGTAATGTGTCGAAGTACAAAGTGCAGGAGTGTTTATTCATTTTCCCGATGGTTATTTAAATCTGCTTTCAGCAGCATTAGATGAGCTATTGTCAACATACTATTACGATGTAATAATTTAAGATGAGAACGACAATTATAAGTGAGTGTTAATTGACTTGACTTAATCATAGAGGAAATCGATGCTTGGTGACGATAGATGTTCATTTCCGTCCATATTCTATAATAATACTAAATTGGACAAGATAAACTTAATAAACAATATACAAGATATTAATAATTAAAACAGATTCTTTACCAAAAATCAAAGTCATTGTAATATTAAATACGTTGACACATCGAAAGACATGCCGAGTTTTCTAACCCTCCCCCAGAGTGTCTTCAGAAAGAAAGTATTCCCTGCACCGCTTGCCACAACCGCCTCAAAACTTATTTAAAGGGATTGAGGTTTACTTAATTGTGTGTGTGTGTCGAGCACACTGATAGCATCAATTTACACCATTCCAATTTTCAGTTAAAGTCTGTGGTTCCTGCAATTCGACAAAAAATAAATCTCGAAAGGATAAGTGACAAATCAAACACTTAGTTTTAGAGGAATTGCAGGAACCACAAACGTCTAGTTGAAATTTGAGAAGATGCAAATTGATGTATCAGTTAATTTAGAAAACCTCTTTACTAATCCTTTAAGTATTCATGTGCAGCTTAAATTCAAAAGAGTGAGTAATGGTTCTTGCTGATGATAAAAAAAACCTGTATCTTACCACACTTGTATTTTTTTTCCAAACTATTTGCTTCGCAGGGCGTCGGATATGATTTATTTACTGTGACTTTACATTCATTTTTAACATTACAACAATTCAACAAGGATTTTGTGTCGCTCATCGTACAGGCACTACTCGATCTCCGTGACTTTCTGTAGACTTTTGTGCTAGTTACAGGAAGAGCATCGTTGTCGTAATCGTCATCAGATTGATCTGTTTCGCAATATTGAGAACATTTTACCACACCAGCTATGCATATAACATCTTTGTTTTCACACTTAAAAAAGTGGTAGCATGCACCATCACTATCTCGGCAGCAAGATGCCATCAGATCTATAAATTAATATTTCAATTGTTAAAGTGACTGGGAAAAACCTGACGCCACGGTAGATGGTGGGTAAAACTCGGGAAGGCTCATCATTGAGATTCAGTGATACTCACAAAGTGGGGTATACGGGTTATGAGGAACTATGAGAGTTTTGCAAGTAATGGAGGTTTTGCATGTAGCCGAATGTAAGACTATTCTCTCTAAATGGCGTATTTGTCATTATGGTGACAATGTAAATTGTTGAAACGTTGTATACTACAGGAGTAGTGAACCATAAAAATGTGCTCCGATATTTAAATCTTGTAATATTTTAAATTTTCACACTCCATGACAACACGAAAACCTAAAATGTAAATTGTACATTAACTTACCCTTGTCAACATGTTTAACCCTCATCATGTATTTGTACCAAAGAGAGCTGTGATCTACGTTAGTGGAAGGATGAGTCCTCTACTGTTGATTCAGAGATACATGATACGCCTACCGGATATTACGCCAAAATATACTATATCCTTTCTTCGTGATATATTCTGTATTTACGCAAGATGATTTTATAAACTAGAGCTTTTTGACAAAATAAAAAAGAAATCTTTTCCGTTGATTTTTTAACACGATGAGATGAGTACATTGAAAACCGAAGAAAAGTTCAATCAATGAGACACATTAGTTCGTTGTAACCTGACTAATTTCCGACGTCTTCAAGGTTTTCATCATCTTCGTCAAACAATATAAAAAAAAGAATGAGTTGAATTAGAGTAGATGGCATGGCATATTTCATGTCTTCCTCGGAATATTCACAAACCCTTTATCCAACCCCTTTACCGAGCTGTCCTTCGATTTTATAATCACCATAGATACCTTTCCAAATGAAAATGAAGACAAACGTTCATAACGATAAAAACAAAAGGAAACAGCTGTAACGATGTAAAGGAAATGACGTCTATACGAAACGAAACTTTGAGAATGATCATACTAGACCTACGTTAATGTCCAACATTTTTCAAGAATTTGCTTTCTTTAACTTTAATAATAATTCAATTAGTTTTGGAGGGTTAAACTGCACAATATTTGAAGATAGTAACATTAATTACATACTAAACGCACTGATGAAAGTAAACCTTTTAATACAAGGAAATACGGTCATATAATACCAATTACAGTTCGTTTAAATTTCAACCATACCATATTGAATAAATTAATGCAACTTAGTGTACAAATTGAGGTGCTTGTCGTTCCCTCAATACAGGGGGGTTTCAGCCAACCACTATTCCCACTATAAACTTTTTAAACTTAGTCAAAATTAGTCTTTGTTCATCACTGGACTTACCTGGTGTCATAACTAAACAACATAATCCTCCTAAATTTAGAAGCTACTCTACCTATTGGTGTGTTTTGAACAAACAGAACAGAAAGAAATTTTATTGAATTCGGGAAAACAAGGAAGTAAATAATTTTCTAGGTTAAAAAAGTACGTAAGAGTGTTCTTTAAATATCCTTTGATATTTTGAAATCTGAAGAAAGGTAAGTGATATAAAGATTATCTGGCAATTCTCATTGTGCCAGTATGGCAATATTGGTATAGTAAGAGCAACATGTTTTCTTAGTGTTATCTACTATCGATTGAGATTAATCTAAACTGTTATGATTTCGCCTGCCTATTATACATTACCTCTTGAAACATTTTAAAAGTTACAATGTCATTTGGTGATGTAAGTTCTATCAAATGTCCAATTCAGGTTTAATGTGGTAAAAGTATCATTATTCAGAGATTCCAGATTTCTTCTATTTTTCTGAACAGTTGTATTTTTTGTTGTTGAAATTAGTGAGATGAGAGGTGAAAAGATTGCTATATATGAAATGACTTCCAGAGCGTCTTAAAATGGTAAAATCTTCCCCCGCGTACCGCACAGTGGAGGCCGTGACCCCCTTGCACTTAGCTAGAATTTTGCATTTTCTCTATTTTTATAATTCTTTACTGGGATCCCTGATTACTACTATATTCTTTATTCTTGTTATTTTTTTCTGTCACTAAAGAATAGTTAAATGGAGGAAAGGAAGGTCAATGATTCATCTCGCTGGCACAATTTAACCTGTAAACCACCAACGGTTATTAGAATATACAATGCCTGGGATTACATTGATGATTGCTGGAAATACTTTACGGATATTGATGTAAATGGTTTAAAGAAAAAGTGCAATGGAAAATTCAGTTGCAGTTATATAAGAAGTAGGAAATGGAGAACATGTCACAGTCGGTATCTGTCTTTAACAAAAAGTGTAATTCAGTATTATTGCGTACGATATTGTAAGTATATTCATGATTTATGATTTATTTTAAGAAGTATATTGTAGTATAGAAATTATATCACTACGAGAGAAACCTGTACCAATGGCATATTCCGCTTATTACTGGTATACAAATAAATGAAAATTGACTTTTGTTTAATATTAAATTTAACAGATTCGGAAACAACAACATCTGTAACAATACTACCATCAAGTGAATCAACCAAGGTTACGGCCTTCACAGAATCTAATACACAATACAGAAAATACACTACTTCTAACCAACACTCAACATCAAGTAAGTCAATAAGTTTTCTTTTTTAAAGAAAAAGTGCAATAGAAAATTTAGTTGCAGTTATAATAAAAGAAGGAAATGGAAAACATGTCACAGTTGGTATCAATCTTTAACTACAGGTATAATTCAGTATGATTGTGTACATTATTGTAAGTATACTTATAGTTTATTTTATATGACTGCAAGAGAGTAATAAGTGACATTTCATTAATAATTTTATTTCATTACCAACAGCAAATTCGACCAGGCCTAATGAAACAACAACCCCTATGAAACAGTCATCAAGTAAAAAAGCTAGGACTATCACTTTTACAGAATTTCATACAAATTTCAGAATTTCCACCAGTTCTTGATATCTTGAATAATATAACCCTATTGCATTGCACGTCATCAAACCCAAACAAGGTGCAGATTTCATTGGTGAGAAACTATCACCCATGGTTCTTAGTATTTGAAATATTATAGCTCAAAAGTATTCATAAGAAAAAAAAATTGTATGTATATGCATCAAAGCTAATGTCAATAAGCGGATAAGCGGAAGCCCATGTGTTACAGGCTGTAACATAATTAGTGAACATGAAACAGTGAAACATTTTATTTGATATCAATATTTTTAACAAGTCATGTTTTGTCTTTATAGTGGTGATAAAAAAACCATCTTCACCAGTCATTCTCAATAATACTACTTCAGTCCGATTCCTAAAATTCGTTCAAGGAATATTAGTAAGTGGTAGCCTATGGATATATAATTTCATTATTATCATAGATATAAAATTGATGAAGATTATTTAAGTTCTTTTGTTTCTTGATTTCCCAGTTGGTCGGATGAATACAAACACGCCTGTTACAAGTACAAATACAAGGTCAACCCTACAAGAACATTCTAGTACATCAAGTAAGTCAATGATCCTAAAACCAACATAGAAATTCCTCACTGATATTGAAGATCTTTCTTAAATAATTCATACTCAAGATTCTTGAGTAAATTGATCGAACCGGTATATTTTGACGTATAAGTCGTATAAGATATGCCTAGTACAGAAGAATGGAGTTTCGACATCATGAACGGGCAGAGTGTACAAGAATGTTAAAATGGCTGATATTTTACATCTTCAGACATATAGGAGTTCTGTGTAGGAAGGTCGTGGCTGTCAAATCTTGATGAAAACTGTCTGTTTTATATTATTGTAGATGATGCAGTTATTGCTGGTAGTGTTATTGGTGTTTTGGGTGCTCTGGCCCTTATCCTTCTACTTATATGTTTTGTTTTGAAAAGGTAAGACTTAAAAGGGGTTGTAAAGAGGTTTTCTAAACTTTGTATATGTAAACTAATAGCATCCATTTCCACCATTCCAATTTTCAGTCAGACTCTGTGGTTCCTACAATTCCACTAAAAGTAAGTATTTTATGACGTTATTATTGTAAAGGCTAAGGTGATTTTGAAATGTTCATAGAATTGTAATTCATGTTTCAGAAGGAAAGCTGATAAACACGAAGCTACAACTTCTGCTACAGGGAATTCAATTGTGTTACGTGGCGTCCAACCACAATCAACAAGTAATGAATCTACAACCTACAGTACTTTAGAAAATATTCCTGACCAAAATCATATTTATGGAACGTTAGGATCAAGACAGCAAAACACAAACTGTTTTAATAATATCCATGGTACAGATGACAGGAATTCGCCTCCGACAGCCTTATAGATATAGAAACTGTCAATGTATCAGGCTGACAGAGAGAAGACTATAACAATATATCTATTTCTGAACAAAATTCATTTTTATTTCATTGATAAAATAATAAGGATACATAGTTTCATATATACTAATACTAAGTAGCTTTACTCTGCTATGAACATATACTATTTTGTTTCTTATTTTATCTTTTGCTTATAGATATGGGGAAACTTTTCTTGTATACCTATTTTTTTTAACATGATTATATCGTTGTACAAATTCGCAAAGGTATTCTGAAATTTCGAGAAGATAAAATACCAAAAGGTTGACAGAGTATCGCTTAAGGATATAAAAAAGGTTGCAATTCGCACTACATAGTTTACCTGTTTTTAGTTCCACACTTTTTTCTTAAACATGGGATGTAATAAACATCTTCAAATTCTATATTGTCCAAAGTGGAAAAAAATGTTCTTGTTGAGGTCAAAAACTTGTACAAAACGTTTCATTGCAACTCATGCCACAAGAGAATACAAAGAACTTTTTGAAAGACGAATATCTATGATTTAGTACTTTCCTTAAGACTACAGAAAAACGGATCAGCCTTTTCCAACAATGTAACGTTTGTGTCAAGTATACACAGATAGGCCTACATGATATAAGATATTTTTAACACACATTTTCTTCCAGAATAAAAACTTTTTTACACAACATAAATTTGATTTTTGAAACCATTTAAACGTGATTACCTCATCTCAAAAGATTGGTCCCATCTCGATCATCATTGTGAACTAATGCTGAAGATACGTCTAAAGAAGTAATGATCTAAGCTACAATTAAATCAGATTCAGAGTTGACAAAACACCATAAATGTTACCTGGAGCTAAGACTTCAAATGTATAATTAATGCGATAACGAAACAACCATCAACGTTGTCAATATATCAGGTAGAAAGAAATAAGACTATAACCATAATATAGTATTTCTTAATTGAACAAACAGACAACACGAATCTATAAATTTTTCAAATTAATTCATAATTTTGTAACAGTAATTTGCAATATTAATTTGGTACATTGACAATTGCAGACATTACATGAAGTCATGATGATTTTATAATAACCTGGGTCAGATAAAATAAAACTTTCATTAAAAAGAACACTATCAAATTAAAAATATTCTATTGCAAATACAAGTATACCGAAAGGCAAAGGAAATGACATGTTGGTGTATCATATATACTAGTAGTTTCCAACCTTTCTCAGCCTTCACACCCCTGGAACAATCACCTAGACCTTTCACACCCCCAAGAATTGATGTGGGGTGTTCTCTCAATTCAAAATAAATTCTTCCTCTACACCAGTTGGCCACACCCCTGACAACCTAGTTCCACACCAACAAGAGGTGAAAACACCCCAGGTTGGGAACCGAGGATATATACAGTATGATATCCTAATGCTTATTTCTGCAAGAAAAGACATCAGAGAAAGCCAGTTGACTTACAGTGAAATGGAACAGAAAGAAGCAGTAGAACGTTAAATCACTTTATTGACCACAGAACATGCAACTGCCATTGTCTGTTAAGTTTTGTGGATTTTCAGAAATGTCTTCCAGTATAGAATAAAGATTTTACGTCAACTAGCCATTTTCATTATTTATTTTAACTAATATTAGTACCAAAAATAATTGCGATCTACTTTATAGTGAAGGATGAGTACTGGACAACAACTGTTAGTTCAATGCAGAGATACATAACACGCCTAGAGGATATTACGCCAATTTATACTATATCCTTTCTTGATGACATGTGACTTCATTAACTACTCTTCTGGCCAAAATACTAGTGTTCCCTTGATATAATTTGGAACACGATGGGTCACTCTAGTGATATGAAAACAGATTAAAAGAACATTAGTTCGTGGTAACCTGAGGTTTGCATCATCTTCGTCAAACAAATGTAAGAATATTTTGATTACATTTGGTTGATATATTTAATCTGTATTGATACTCTTTCAAACCAGGATATAGTGAATTGGATTGAAATGTTTGGCGTAAAAACTCATTTATTCCCGTAATGACTAACTCTGGAGATTAACCAACCCCTTTACCGAACTTCGATTTTATCATAACCATAGATACCCCTTCAAACCAGACAATAATAATGAATGGGATTGGAATCTTTAACTTAAAACTCTTTGGTTCTCTTAATATGACTAACTACAAATCCTTAATCCAACCCCTTTCATTTTTCTATAATAAGCGGTCCTTCAGTAAACTACATTATCGACTACAATGATATGAATAGAGTGACATAGATACCAATGTATATATCTTCTATAGTGATAATGGTAAACAGTTTCTCAATTTTACTTCCTTCTGCACCTCTTACAACATCCTGAATCCGACATCATATTACGTTTTATATCATAGCATACATGATTCGGTTTAATTCCAAATTTATTGTTTTTAAACTGAACGGGAATTTCCTAAATGTTGTATTTTAAAAGTCAAAAAATAATCTAATAGCGGTATATAGCAATATATAAATATAATATAGGTCACAGACGTCTTTGGCACATATTTTGGTTAGAATATGACGATTTTGCAAAAAGACCAAAAAACTTTGAATAATGATTGCCCAGTATTTTTCTAGAAATTTGCACCTGGATTGTGGGATTTGAGTTGTCTTTCTTCAACCTTTTCAATATTTTAACACTATAATCAGTAACACTGAAGGCATTGGTAGAGGGCAAGCAATTAAATACGAACTTAATAATTATATTAAAAACATAAGATCATGCTATATATTTATGTATACAAGTTAAGGTCCTTGCCGATCCCTTAATAATTGATGTCGTTTGTTTATTTCATATTTAAATAAGTCACATGGCTCTGCATTACATCATGATATCTGATAATCTAATATTAAAAGTAGGCTAAAAACTATTGTAGGCTACACTATTGAATAGACTTGTTCAATTAAACATAGAGTGAAAAATAAGTTGGGCTATTTATATATAATACAGGTTTTAGACGGGGAAGTAAATTTATTTCGAGGTAAAAAGTACGATATAAAGAATTTTCTTGAGATTTGCTGTGATATTTTCAAATTTGAAGAAAGGTAAGGGATTTAAAGATTATCCGGTAATTCTTATTGTGTCAGTATGGCAATATATTGGTATATCAAAAATATCATCAAGAGTAATTTGTTTTCTGAGAGTGACCTGGTTATATAGTCACTCAGGTATTTGTTTATAGGAAGAATAAAACAGTTCATTTATATGATTTCGCAGCCCACGTATAATGTTGCTTGGTTATATAAATGTTTAAACCCCTAAAACGATATATGTTATAATATTTGTTATCTAATCCATTTGTCTCTTAGATGAACTGAAACAAATATAGTACAATATGTTGACACAAAGATAAGAATTTACTTTGTTCTTCTAGGAGGCATGTATATTTCGATATTGTTGAATGCAATTACGTTTTGAACGTAATACTTTATAAAAATTTATAAAACATTGAAAATGACACGAGGTTTACTACTTTTTAGTGGCGGACTATCTGATTTTATGACTATTGTAAAAAGCAATGTTTTCTGTTGGCCCAATACACTGGGACAATATTCTTTCAAACTATGAAACCTTTTAACAATAAACATGCTATGTCTGATAACAGGGCTCTATGATCGTGTTACATTTAAAATGTATTGCGTTGTTTTTATTTGGGCGTGAACTTACCCTTGTGCTCTCAGGGAACAAAACATACAATTAAAATACGCTATTAGAAATTGACAATATTTAGAAATGATTCAATTGTACTTCTCAGTGAAAGAAACCTGTGCAATGTGGTTAGGTAACATTTACTACATAATTCATATTCAATCAAATATAATTTTCCCATTGAGATATATAATGCTATAGGCCTAATTGTGCTCAAATTAAAAAAAAGTGGCTCAAAGTTCTAAAATAGAAGAGCCAATGTAGTATAATATATTATGTTGATTAGAGGTATTTCTCATCGAATGACCAAATTATATGACATAATTCCTTGTTTTACTAGTAATCTTATTTTACAGTTAATCATGTATAGCTATACACGAGAGAAAAGCGATTCAGATAAGAAGCATAAATTAAGTTGTAAGCCTCCAATGGTAATTCAAATATACGATGCCTGGGATTACATTGATTATTGCTGGTACAAGTTCCCCTTTTCGGATATGGATATTTATGATTTAAAGACAAAGTGCAATGGAAAATCTAGTTGCAGTTATATAAGAAGTAGGAGATGGAGAACATGTCACAGTCGGTATCTGTCTTTAACAAAAAGTATAATTCAGTATGATTGTGTACGATATTGTAAGTATATTCATGATTTATGATTTATTTTAAGAAGTATATTGTAGTATAGAAATTATATCACTACGAGAGAAACCTGTACCAATGGCATATTCCGCTTATTACTAGTATACAAATAAATGAAAATTGACTTTTGTTTAATATTAAATTTAACAGATTCGGAAACAACAACATCTGTAACAATACTACCATCAAGTGAATCAACCAAGGTTACGGCCTTCACAGAATCTAATACACAATACAGAAAATACACTACTTCTAACCAACACTCAACATCAAGTAAGTCAATAAGTTTTCTTGTCATGGGGCTGCGTTGAAAGCTTGCGAGCTAACCTGAAGAATAGATTAAAACGAACCTATTATTTTCAATATTTTTTTAAGTTCATTAATACTACTCATGCTGCCTTTTGATTTCATTATTATCTTAAAATAAAACAAAATATAAAAACGAAGAAAATTATGTATTTGTTGTTTGTTTATTGATTTCTTAGTTGGACGGATGAATACAAACACGCCTGTTACAAGTACAATGTCACCTTTACAAGCACCTTCTAATAAATCAAGTAAGTCAATACTCATTTACACTACAGAAACTCCCCATTGATATCAAAGACTTTTCAAAAGTCATAATCCTCATTTAAACAATATGTGGTAATCACTTGAGATTTTAACAGAAGGATCAAAAGGATAGGACACGATAGGGTTGTTTTATATTCTTTATTTCGACGAAGTAGTACCAGAATGTGAGACCTTATGACTGGTATTATACCTCATCGAACATATTGATACCTCTAAGCAGATCAGTCATCCTTTTTCATACTTAGTTGAGATTTTACTCAAATTTGAAGCACATTTTACAGGTACTTAACTGATTGTATCAAATAAAATGAATTATCAATCTATTCTTGAGGACACAATGCTTCTGGCAACAACACATTTATATTCAAATTTTACTTTTTTATTGATGCATGTGGATTGTTAATTTGAGTAAAAACTGAGCATGAGAAATGTTTTGTGGCCCTAGGGCAGTATACTGTTATGTTCTATGTCGTTTGTAACTGTACACTGCAGTGGTTCTCAAAACTTCCAGTTTTATATTATTGTAGATGATGATGCGGTTATTGCTGGTAGTGTTATTGGTGTTTTGGGTGCTCTGGCTCTTATCTTTCTACTTGGATGTTTTGTTATGAAAAGGTAAGACTTACGACTTTCTCGGAGTTGTATAACAGTCAGCCATTGGATATTGATCCATCATATATATATCAAAAATACACTTTCACGCACTTCACGTAGGGACGCAGGCTGAAAATAGGTCAGTTGTCTGAAGATCGCATAGCGTGAAAAACAACATGTATTTTAGGTTCTGTTTTAATATTTCTATATCAAATATATTCAGTCAAGGCATGTCTCAATGTTCATAGATTAATGATCTATTTTCAGAAGAAAAACAGATAAACACAAAACCACCAGGCAAGAAAGCGTATCAAATGTTGTTAGCCAAAATTCAAATGTGTTATATGTTGTATCTGAAAATGGTCCATCAATACCAGGGCGTGATGATGATGAACCTCCAGCCTACAGTTCTGTAGATGATATTCCTGACCAGAATCATATTTATATCAATGCTGATTATGAAAAGGGTCAAGATTTAAATCATCAACAAACCAACTATTACAATCATATCCATGGTACAGGTGTCAGGAATCCGCTCCAAAACGATAACTACAATCATACAGATTCAGAAGCCCTTAAAATATCAGGTAGACAAGGGGATGACTATAACCACATTTCTGTTTCTGGACGAAGTGAAAATCTTCCGACCGAAATGGACGATGGCTACAACCACATCCGATCTACTGAAGGTGCTGTAAGCCACGGTACTGATGATAACAATCATATTGGTGGTCACACTGACGGTGGTGAAGAGAATACAGGATATTTGGCGGATGATTACAGCCACTTGGATAATAGTAAAAAGCAGAATACTTCTGAAGGCGAGCAATCTACTGGTATGGAAAATCGTGTGATGCAAAGAAGCAACAATGAGTCCGAATCAGAGAATGATTACGCTAATATCGGTAGACAAATAGTCAATGATGATGCTAATGATTTTGAACCTGATGATACCTATATTTATACTTAACTCTCGAGAGCAAATTAAGCTATTAGTTGCTGCTTTGATGTTTTATAAGACTGGTTAAATGTATTAATTTGTATACAGTATTATAGTGATTGTATTCTATGTAAGATACATAAAAGGGATTATAAAGAGGTTCTCTAAGTTATTTGCATATATATCGAGGAAACACAATTACCATCAATTTGCATCATTCCAATTTCCAGTCAGACGTCTAGTGTTCCACTAACACTAGGTGTTTAATAACGTCATCATCGCATATATCTGACATTGAAGTGGAATTGCAGGAACCACAGACGTCTAACTGAACATTGGAATGGTGCAATCAGTGTCCCAGATACACAAATACAATTTAGAAAAAACCCTTTACAATCTCTTTAACACATCTTTCAGGACATTTCTGCGTTTGGCATCAATTTTTTTTCTGAAGCTGAGCTATGGCAATAATACGGTTATTATAAGGAGGATTATTTCTTATGCCCCATGCACCACAGTAAAAATTAGTAATTTGTTCTTTGATCTACTTTTATTAACTAATTATATTTCTATTAACTTTGCAATTTACATTCGACTTTCAGCTAAGTTTAATGTTGTATTGGTATATAAATCTTGTCAAACTTTTAAAAGAATACTACCTCTTGATTATGGGATTCAGTTGTATAGTTATAACACTAGGCAAGTCCACTAATGAAGTATAAAAATTCATTTTTTTTTGGTCAACCTAAGAGGTAGAATATCTTTAACCTCATGTTCTACTTTGGTTGGAGGGCAAATCTAGATTGATGTGCCGTGTTTGACTTTCTTTTCCTTCCATATTATGTGGAAACTCTAATGTCAGCAGACCACTAATATTATCCATCCATCTTTGTTTTTTAATTTCAAAAATACATATTTTTTTCATATTCATTGTTTAAGATGGGACTTGTATTATCAACATATCTTTAGCTTAGATTTTGATTGAATTTTATATTTTAATCTTTGTTAAATATATTTTGTCGTCAAAGTTTTTTTTTTAACTTGTTTGTTATTTTTATTTGTCTACTTGAATACATCTAGTTCACATTTACAGTCATGTTAGCATTAACTTTTTGTTGATGTTTATAATTATGTTACCCTATTTTATGCTTCAGTTTAGTTCAATTTAAGTAAATTAATTTGTTTCTTTACCGTAGTCATTGTTTATTCTGTTTATTATTACTATACATTTTGGTTTTCTTTACCTTAGTTATTGTTTATAAATATTATCATTTATTATTACTGTATCCGTTTGTTAAACTTAATTAAAGTCTAGTTTTGTGAACTTTTATAAAAGTAAATCGGTAAAGCTCCTGAAAGTTACATTAGAAAGAAGAAGGTTGAAAACCCCTGATCTACTGTATATTCTATCGGTGTACAAATTATTAAGCAGATTACCTCCCTTGAAATGTACAACTGGTATGGATGTCTCCATAATGGCCATTTGAATCTTGGGTTATTTTTTTAAGAAGAGGATTGAAATATCAGCATAGAAATAGTACTGAATGTCATTCCCATGATAAGAAACACATTTTCTTGATAGAAATTTCAACCAAAAATGTCAAAAATTTTGACTGAAAATTGTCCTCTGTAAAAACAAATTTTTAAGGAGTAATGTTTTTATTTTTTTATCAACGCAAAGTCATTCTAAGACTTACAGTACTTTTTTGAATCTGCCATTCCCATTCACAAAAATAATGGAAAATTCAAAACACCAATCTGATTATTCAGTCGGACAATTCAAGTGGCTTAAATACAAAATCCTTGACAGGCTTGAAAACTATCAAAGATGTATTTGAATGTGAATGTACAAACATATGACATGTGCTGTTTTTCAAAGTAAACCCACTTTTTTCTAGATAAAACTTTTATTTACATTAAACAAAACTTAATATTTGAAATATATTTATGTAATATTTAATTAAGACCAGGAATCAATGCTTACATTTTATCATTATTGATTTGGCCTCTTGCAAGGGTATTGATTATGAAAAAACTGCCAGATGCAGGAACACTCATCCAAATTTGCTACTCATTTAAAGTGATATAGTCGTTTACTTATTTGCATATGCAACAGTTTTCATAATTTTATTCTGAATTCGAAGAAACGCAAAGTAGATGTCCAGATTGCTATCACCTAAAGGCCGATTGCAATTTGTCATGTTTAGTTACTAATGAGATTATCTGAAGTAATAACGGCATACTAGAATGTTGTTGAAGGTCTGATGGTGATGAAAGCTTTCCAAGGTACGTTTTATTCAATTTATAGGACAACCGGAACCCAAACTATTTCTGTTTTCAATTTTAGGGACTGCTATTTGCACATATCTACGACACAAAAACAATTTGCGATCGAAGACGGATAAAAGTAAATCACACTTTTTGTCCAACGTGTTCAAAAGGAAGACTATCATTTAACCGAAACGTCGTTACTAAATGGTGAACTATATATTTTAGTTCAAACGAAAACGTTGCAGTGACATAATTCCACGGTATTAACTAATTTAATAAACTGATTTGGGTTGTCTTAACATCATGTATCCTGCTACACATACCACTGCACTCCTGGTAATTGAACCAATATCAGAAAACCTAAAAAAATGAAAATAAATGAGGAAGTTCATGTCATTCACAATCAATTTTTGTTTTTTTTTGTGTTAATATGCTACAAGTAAGCCATCCGTGAAATATGCATTTAGTCCATTCAGTAGCAGTTGTCAGTTGGAAGAACTGGCTCGCTTCTCATGAACATTTTCACATCACTTTCCTTCTTAAAAAATATCAAATATCAGTCTGAACTATATAAAAGCAATGTCATTAAAAAGAGGTTTGAGTAACCATTTACCCTTAGTTTGAAATTAAAAAAGCAAATAAAAGATTTGTACTTACATGAAAGTGTTTCGTATGAATTCAAACATTGAAGGATTCTTCTTATAATCATAATCTGCTAGAAATGCTGAGTACTCCATTTTTGTGAATCGTACAGCATTGATTGTGGTATCAGCGTTTTTATCGTGGACGGGAAAAGGGCGTTCTGTAGATGACTCAATTGTTTCAAGACTTGCGGGTTTCACTCCACTCTTAGATGATACAAATTGTACGGTTCTTGTAACCTGTCTTGTTGAAAGTTGCATATCGACAATAGACCTGGCACGCCTGATGGATAAACGCTCTCTATTTTCTACAGATCTAGCACGTCTTGATGATAAACGTTCTCTATTTTCTACAGATCTAGCACGACTTGTTGATAAACGCTCTCTATTTTCTACAGATCTAGCGCGTCTTGTTGACAATTGTTCTCTATCTTCTACAGATCTAGCACGTCTTGATGATAAACGTTCTCTATTTTCTACAGATCTAGCGCGTCTTGTTGATAAACGCTCTCTATATTCTACAGATCTAGCACGTCTGTTTGATAAACGTTCCCTACCCTCTACAGATCTAGCACGTCTTGATGATAAACGTTCTCTAACTTCTACAGATCTAGCACGTCTTGATGATAAACGTTCCCTGTCCTCTGCAGATCTAGCACGTCTTGATGATAAACGTTCTCTATCTTCTACAGATCTAGCACGTCTTGATGATAAACGTTCCCTATCCTCTACAGATCTAGCGCGTCTTGTTGATAAACGTTCTCTATCTTCTACAGATCTATCACGTCTTGATGATAAACGTTCTCTATCTTCTACAATTCTAGCACGTCTTGTTGATAATCGTTCCCTATCTTCTACAGATCTATCACGTCTTGATGATAAAAGCTCTCGTTCCTCTACAGATTTAGCACGCCTTGTTGATAAACGTTCTCTATTTTCTATAGATCTATCACGTCTTAATGATAAACGTTCTCTATCTTCTACAGATCTAGCACGTCTTGATGATAAACGTTCTCTATCTTCTACAGATCTAGCACGTCTTGTTGATAATCGTTCTCTATCTTCTACAGATCTATCACGTCTTGAGAATAATCGTTCCCTATCACGTCTTGTTGATGAACGCTCCATAGCTTCTCCAGATCTTGCTAATAAACATTGCCTATCTTCTACAGATCTGGCACGTCTTGATGATAAACGTTCCATATCCTCTGCAGATCTAGCATGTCTTAATGGTAAACGTTCTCTATTTAATACAGATCTATCACGTCTTGATGATAAACGTTCTCTATCTTCTACAGATCTAGCACGTCTTGTTGATAATCGTTCCTTATCTTCTACAGATCTATCACGTCTTGATAAACGTTCTCTATCTTCTACAGATCTAGCATGCCTTGTTGACATACCTTCTCTAAATGTTTCAGATCTAGCACGCCTTGTTGACAAACGTTCTCTATCTTCCACAGATCTTTCACGTCTTGTTGACAATCGTCGTTTCTCATCTACAGATCTAGCACGGTTTGTTGACAAAGTCCTTGTTGACAATCGTTCTCTCTCATCTACAGATCTAGCACGGTTTGGTGATAATCGTTCCCTATCTTCATCAGATCTAGCACGTGTTGATAATCGTTCCCTATCTTCATCAGATCTAGCACGTCTTGTTGAAAAACGTTCCCTATCTTCACCAGATCTAGCACGACTTGTTGATAAACGTTGCCTATCTTCTACCGATCTAGCACGTCTTGTTGATAAAAGTTCTCTATTTTCTACCGATCTAGCTCGTCTTGTTGATAAACGTTCTCTATCATCTACAGATCTTGCACGTCTTGTTGATAAACGTTCTCTATCTTCTACGGACCGGACACGTCTTGTTAATAAATGTTCCAAGTTGTCTTCAGATCTAGCACGTCTTGTTGATGAACGCTCCGTAGCTTCTCCAGATCTTGCTAATAAACTTTGCCTATCTTCTACAGACCTGGCACGTCTTGATGATAAACGTTCCATGTTGTTCTCAGATCTAGCACGTCTTGTTAATAAATATTCCCTATCTTCTACAGATTTAACACGTTTTGATGACAAACGTTCCATATCCTCTGCAGATCTAGCACGCGTTGTTGATAAACGTTCCCTGTATTCTACAGATCTAGAACGACCTGTTGATAAACGGTCTCTGTCTTCTACAGATCCAGTGCGTCTTGTTGAAAAGCGTTCTCTATCTTCTACAGATCTAGCGCGTCTTGATAATAAACGTTCTCTATCGTTAACAGATCTAGCACGTCTTGTTGATAATCGTTCCGTATCTTCTACAAATCTAGCACGTCTTGTTGATAATCGTCCCCTATCTTCATCAGATCTAGCACGTCTTGTTAATAAACGTTCTCTATCGTCAACAGATCTACCACGTCTTGTTGATAATCTTTCCCTATCTTCTACAGATCTAGCACGACTTGTCGATAAAAGAACTCTATCTTCAACAGATATAGCTTGTCTTGTTGATAAACGTTGTCCGTCTTCTACAGATCTAGCACGGCTTGTTGATAAACGTTCCCTATCTGCTTCAGATCTAGCATGCCTTGTTGATAAACGATCTCTATCTTCTACAGATCTGACACGTCTTGTTGATAAACGTTCTTTATCTTCTATAGATCTAGCACGACTTGTTGATAAACGTTCTCTATGTTCTACAGATCTTTCACGTCTTGTTGATAAACGTTCTTTATCTTCTATAGATCTAGCACGACTAGGTGATAAACGTTCTCTATGTTCTACAGATCTTTCACGTCTTGTTGATAAACGTTCTTTATCTTCTATAGATCTAGCCCGACTAGGTGATAAACGTTCTCTATGTTCTACAGATCTTTCACGTCTTGTTGATAAACGTTCTTTATCTTCTATAGATCTAGCCCGACTTGGTGATAAACGTTCTCTATGTTCTACAGATCTAGCATGCCTTGTTGATAAATGTTGTCTGTCTTCTAAAGATCTAGCGCGGCTTGTTGATAATCGTGATAAATGCCCCCATGTGTGCGTATGCTGCATATGAATAGATTCCACAGTTTTTCCGTTTAATTTTGCAATGTTCTTTATTTCAGAGACAACCCCTCCTTTAGTCGGATAAGCGTAGCGCCCATCTCCCTCTTTAAGACATTGGATTTTTGCTGTTCGGCGACGTTTTCTGGTACTTCTAGAGTTTCGTGTTGCTGTTTTGAGTAAGTGGAGCCTTTCTTCCGAGTGACCATTTGTCTTGCTAGTTTTGGAAATTCTCACAAACATGGAAGCAGATGTAGTAACTCTAATATTGTCGTTGTTGTCAGATGATCCGTGGTGATATTCTGATAAAACAATGGTCAAACAAACCAGTTCCACCACTATCAGAGATCTCATCATCTTGATTACTAAAATTAATATAAAATAGTTTGTCGTTTAGAAATATTAAAACAGAACCTAAAAAGAACATGTTGTTACTCAGAGTTTCACGCTATGCGATTTTCAGACAACTGACCTAATTTTTAGCCTGTGTCTTTACTGAAGTTAGACAAGTAGAACTTATGCTCATGTCTACACTTCAAGGAAGTGTGCTTAGGGGCATTAATGATGGAAAGCTTTTCAGTTAAACACAGGTTACATCGTTTGGTTTTATTTGTGTTTTGTCAAAACCTCCGTAGTGGACAAGTCTGGTAATCAAATAGATTATTGTAATACGTATTATACATATTAGTTATTTATGGATTTTTCACACCCCAAAGATCAAAAGAAATGTCATTCTCAAAAAATACTTGAATGAAAACCAATACATTCTAACTAGAGGAATAAATATTAACATTGCAACGAATGTCTTTTTACTTATTACTTAAACCATTTTTTTTATAAAAAGCGTTTATAAAATAAACCAAATCAATACGAAACAGGAGGCAAGAGATGTCATGTCAATACTTTACTTCAGGTAAGACGAAACGCATTTTATGAACAGCTTTATAAAAACGATCAAATGAACAATCGAGAAAATATATTTACACTTACCTTAAAAATGAACGTTTTCTTCCAGAATAGAGATGTTTCTGAAGAAAGCATCCGACTAAGATTATTATATAGACCTTTGTAAGATAATTTATCAATTTATTTGATAGACACGCTTTACCATATTATGTCTCCACTCCCCCTCTAAAGAATCAATACGGACTGATTCAATTTATAATAATTTATAGCCTTATTAGACTTTTGTTATATCTGATTAAATAAATAATAGAATGATAAATTGAGTCTAGAATATAACTGTTGCACGTTTAACTTTATAGGTTTAAATATTAGGTTGGGGGCTTAATGAATGATACTTTCACGAATGGGGTAACATATAAACTATATATTTGCGTACTAAGAAGGCTTTTCCTGTACAAAAAAGTTCCATTGATGTGTCTGGAATGCCATCAAATTGAGACATAAACAATAAATTTGACTTAATCCATCTAACAAGATGACTGAATCTTCGGCCAATTTTAATTAAAGGGCATTGAAGGGTTAAATTAGACCACCTGTTTTGGGAACTTAACGACGAGTCTTTTGTCATTCAATAACGACATATTTAAAAGTCTATCACATATTTAATAACTCGTGTGATTGAGCTGCCAATCTTCTGAGTTCAAATTAGATATTTTCAGACATCCTGATATTCCAGTCAAATTTATGACAGGTAATGAGCGTAAGATAGGTAAGTAGTCGGTTCCATATCGATGAATTTTAAATGGTCTTTGAGTGATCGAAATTAAAACAAAAACATTTTTACCGAAATCAAAGACAAATATTTAAGAATTAATTTGGTAAATACAAAAATGAAATTTGGGAAGGGCTAAGATTGGTTCGACTTCAGTGGCTGCGCCAGCCACAAAGAATAGGCCGGGTACAAATAGGAGACTGACTCAATGGTGGGGTGGAGGCAACTGCCCAGGCTGAAATCAAAATGCGGTAACTGTGAAGGCGTCTTGTCGCAAGCCTCTAATGAGCGTTCTAAGAAGGTTCACCCAAGAAAATTTTTGATAAATTGAATTGATCTGTGGCATTTTGACACATATTTGTCCTGACATAAATTTGTCAAAAATCAAGTGGAGATACAATTGGGTGCAAACTTCTTTTATACGGGTGCAAATGAACTCCCCACTTTGTACCACCACTGGCCTGGCGCCGCCACTTTGGATCATTTCATTCAAGATTAACTTGGCCATAATATATCCAAATATAATAGCCAAAGCTAAACAAGCATAAACTGACAAGAATACAGGTCAATAATGAACGATTTAAAGGGAATTTCCGGTTCTTTTTACAGATCGAAAATATTTTTTGCTCTAATTTGTAAAAAATTGTACATTAAAATTTAGAGAAATGTAGGTTGATATTTTTGAAACGTCAAAAACATTTTAAAAGATTACGTAAGGTTTTTAAGTAATTTTTTTTTGGAAGCAAGATTGGTATCATGGAATGGAAATAGGGTGTATCATTTTACAGCAGGCGAAAGAGGTTGTAACAGTGTAACCAGGATGACTTACAAAAACATTGACATCAGTATTTATCGCTCCAATCGACTACCAGACAAAAAAATCTTACTGCCTTCGTGGGAAGAATGTTTTAGAACAGTCCACTGGGGGTCGGGTACGGGAAAAGTGATCGGCTAATGTTTTTAAACATCTTGCAAATAAGGACCCTCTGTATTCGGCAATCCACGGCAGTTTCCGTAAACCTAAATCTGACTCGGTAATGAATGGTGTCTTTTTGGGCGAGACTCTTTATTTCTGGTATTTAACAATTATTTGTCAAGTGATGGTTATATTGAGACCACAATATAGTCCCTAGCTTTATAGCCTTCGGGGAATAATTCTGACACAAAATTATGAGTGACTTTATTGTGACTATCCGATGATGCATTATTTTTATTATCCTTTTGGATCCACTTCCTAGGAAGGTTTTGTTTTCCTTGTCTTTGTTTACAAATATTTGTTGTCCCGAACGACTAGCCTCTGTTAAAATTACCAGTATCACGTGATCACTTTTGGACCCTCCATAGAAACGGTGCAAGGAATTTAAAGAAAATATGCCTATTGATAGTTGTGTGATAAATAGAATCTTACACGGGTGTATATGTCCTTAAAGTAATGAATCGTTTAAAGATGCGATCTCTTAGTTTCATTTATAGAAATGAAAATGCTAGTAATTGTATGAATAGAAAGTAAAGGTGTTCTAATGACTTGGAAAAACACCAGTTTGCCTCACATGTCCGTAATTAATACATAATTAGCTAAATTAGAAGAGAATTACCAGCAAAATTCTTATGAATGACCGATCAAGAAAGGTCAAAAATTCTTTTTTACATACATGGACATTTATGATTGGTTAAATTATATGCAATAAAAACATAATGATATGCTTAAGAATAATGATAATTCATTAGAAATTTATCAAATTTTTTGCTACATTTGACACTTAAAGAATAAGGAAACCCAACTTTAAGATCTTCTATTTCTCATACAATGTAATATTTCATATCAAAATAATTTAAATTGCACTTGTTTGACTTTTTTAAATGTCGTAGAAGATATTAAAATAAAAAAACGATAATGAATAAGTGCTAATACATGTTTTAATACATAAAGAACTTGTGAATAAATTAAATCTAGTAGGCCAGCGCATTGAATTGAAAAATAAAAACATTAATCCTTTTTTAGAAATGAATAAAATGGGTTATAGGCGTTACCACATTAAATTATATTGATCTTCTAGAAAAAGATAGCTTGCCAGGCAAGGTAATATACGCCCACTGGCAGCTTTGTTTTTGAATAAAAATATTTAACAGTACAGTAACAATCACCAGTATGAAATATTTAACCTTCATACACTTCTTTTGAATTCTTTAGGGCGATGCTGAATAATATTGAGTATGAGTGATTGCCCTTGTTCTTGAAACGTGTTCAATTTTTAGCTCGTGAAAACTCTTGAAGGCAAATATTCAATCTTCAGCGCGGGACTGAATAATAAAACCAAGTTTTGTCAAATCCAGCAAGAAGCATGCCTTTTTAGTGTTTAAGAGCTAAATTTGAAAGCGTTTTCAAGCTCAAGGGCAATAACTCATACTAAATATTTTTCAATTCTTCTGATATTCAATAGGGTTCATCCTTGGGCGATTACGAACATTCACACAAGTTTCATCAAAATCTGTCAAGAATTGTGCCTTCTAGAATGATTACAAGCTAAAAGCTATCCTTGGTTGATAACAAACACTCATGCCAAGTTTTGTAAAAATCCATCAAGAAATGTGCCTTCTAGAGTGTTTACGAGCTAAAAATTGAACGCGATTTTAAGAACAAGGGCAATAACACATACTAAATATTTTTTGATTCTTCTGATTTTCGATAGGGTTCATCCTTGGGTGATTACGAACTCTCATGCCAAGTTTCGTTAAAATCCGTCAAGAATTGTCCCTTTTAGAGTGTTTACGAGCTAAAAATCGAACGCGTTTTCAAGAACAAGGACAATAACTTATACTAAATATTTTTCGATTCTTCTGATTTTCAATAGATTTCATCCTTGGATGATTACGAACACTCATGCCAAGTTTTGTCAAAATCCGTCAAGAATTGTGTCTTGTAGAGTGTTTACGAGCAATTGTGGACGGACCGACGGACGGACGGACATGGTTGACGGCAATATACGCCCCCCATTTCATGTGGGCGTATAAAAATGGAAAACTATCTTGCAATCTATTGGAAATTCTTTTACATTCTTTAAGGGTCGATTGCAAAGATATTCAAAAGTCCGCTTTAAAACAGATTTTGAGTCAGTGATATGTTATATCAATGGTATTTCATTTTTTCACAAAAAGGATCATTCATTTTCCAAGAGTTTTCTTCGGTTCATTTTCATCACTTATACATGGGGAGATCGCCTAGCTGTTCCGCTTTGCGAAACCGCTTCAGGTGCGTTTTGTAGTCCGAAACATCTGCCTCTATTCCAGCCTCTGTTTGATATTTTGACAGTTGTCGGCTGGAGTAGAGTCTGAAGAAAAAGGTCCTGTCAATTGGGGATTTTCCACAGCTTTCTTTTTGTTAGTATCACTTGAGTCTGTGATCTTTGAGCTTTTGGCTGCGCACGCAGGTTTAACCGGCCGATGCGAGATCAGTTTTGTTAAAAAATTCTTCGATGGAACCGGAGCGTGACGTAGATGGTGTAAGGAGAAAATGATGGTATGACTGAACTACAAAAAAATTCATCTTCCCAAATATAATCTTGGTTTCGAGGTATCTAAATAGGTTTAAAACCTCAAATCTGCGAAGATGCGGAATGTCCTCTACATTGGCCGACATCTGTCTAAATAGCTATCAGAGGCTGAAATAGAGACAGATATTTCTAGGATTGTTGATGTTTTACACAGCATTGATACCAGCTACGTACGTAGGGCGTGCATGTGTAAGTATTTTAAGAAGGTAAATGAGCCGAGACGTTCAATAACTTCGACCACGTCCTTCACAACGGAAATGGCGTTCCTAGCTACGGACATCCTAGAACGTCTCTTGACCATTAACCCTTACATAAACCTGGACGACATGTAAACAGGTTTTCTCTCATTAAACGTTATCTAAATCTAGATATTGATCTCATGCATAGGTCATTTATTATAGGCTATGAATAAATTATATATGTACTCAACTTTTAATTAAAGATTGATATAGTATAGGTAATTCAGGCAAATACGGCGCCCTTTTTCTTCTTATGACAAAAAATGAATAGCCCTACTCGATGAGAATGGATTTTTATAACAAAAAGGTAGCCAAGTACAATAATGATCAAATCATATCTAGCCGTGTTAATAGAACAAAGAATATCATAAAAAAATGTTTTATTTCAAGTATTTATTTCGCTTACTACATATTATACTTGATGTAATAAATGTTTGCATTATGCTCATTAACGACCCGAAGTTTTCAAACGTGAGGTGATTACATTTTCAACAAATATGATCAAGGGAAATTGCTACTGGATCTTGTTTATACTGATGTATTTAGAAGGTAAGTGAACAAATTACTTCAGATCGTAAACTGAGCGATAAAATATGGAAAGATATAACAAATATTATATATTTACATTTTTTATTCTGTTTATGAAAAATAACATATTTTGACGATTACAACAATTTTAATTTTGGAATAGCTCCGATTTTTTTACGAAGAAATTTTCGTTTTTTTAAATGAATCACTAATATTTTATTTTGGATGGTTATGTTTTTAATTGTTTTTCATTTTTGTTTTCTGAATTATTACCCTTGTTTACGGTGTTACAAATTTTATTGTTCCATAACTTGTTAAATAATTCAATGGTCCACAGCGAATATAAATTTTGAAAATTGTGTTTTGTTGAAAAAAAATCAATCTGATAAACGTTTATGATAATGATCATTCAGGAATAGAAAAAATATTGGAATGAATAATAGAACATAAACAAATTCAAATTATAATTTATAAAAAAAAAAAAGAAATAGAAAAGAACACAAACCATAATTGAGATGAAATTTAAAGGTTTTCTGCATATTTTGGATTATTTATAGTGTGTTGAGATAATTTATTTAATTTGTATGTTAACTATAACGAAAATCTGACTTCTTATTTACAATCGCAATAAAAAGCGAACTACTGTAACCTGCAGAATAGTTGACTCAAATCATATTCTCATTGTAATTTTTGACGTTTTCATTTAACTGCAGATTTCAAATTCAAATCCAGATTTTAAATATTTTCATTTCAGGATCAAATTTCATTAATTGTCTTCATGTAGATACATGTTTCACATCGAACTCGTGTGGTCTTGAAACTATCACATGTCCAACAGGAACAGTGATTGTACCGGAGATAAATTACCTGTTCAAGAAGGCCACACCAAATACATGTCCAGGACCTGCTGGTGATTGTGACCATGTTTGTTGTACGTTTGATTCAGTTGATAGCGATGAAGACACAAATTTGGAGGTTCCAGATATAAATGCTATATTGCAATATGTGGTAAATTGTTTAAAACAGGAATCGTGTAACGTACAGGCGCCGTTTGACAATACCAAGGATTTCGATTATGTGCTTTATCCATATTCCTGTTTGGAGAGTAAGCATCAATACCTTTTTTTATGATATGTTGTAACTTCTGTTCCTGGTATTGTTTATTGTATAACCCGCAAACGTATAACAAATGTAACGTCAACCCAGTTTCTCTCATTGCACATTGCATGACACTGTCCGTCATAGTTAGCCGAAATAGATAAAGAAAAGTAGGACTTTAAACTCCATTCATATAATTATTGTTTAGAATATAATTTCTTCATGTTCTCCTACTCCAAAAGCCAATCTGTAACATGAATTATTGAATATAGGCGATAAACATTAATTTTGATCTTCTTTCATTCGCAAAGATCTATTCCACCAATAGAGTCAACAAAAATAGTCGTCGATCAATATTTGTTTTAACAGTTGACACCACTTTAAGGAATAATCATCTGACGTTTCGCTGTCGAAAAATAACAAGGTGCGACTAGCAGCGACGCGATGTCATGTCTGTTGCCTTAATTCTTCACATCTTGTCCTTATCAGTGGTATCTGAAAGGGGGAAAACCAATAACGGTCTGACGACCTTCGCGTATATAATTATATTGAAGTTATAATATAACTTACCGATTTTTATTGGAAGATTGTTACGATAGCTCTACCAGATAATAAAGAGTTTAGACCACTGTATACCTAAAAGGGCCAGGTTCGTCATCCGTTTGACCAATCGTACCTTACTCTCAGAAGCAGATTATTCTTTTCAGCTAATCTGTAATACACAGCTCACATCCATTGAATCCATGTGTGTCCAGAATTATCAGCGTTTAAAAGTAAAAAGACAACACATCTTTCTTGAGACTCTGCTGGCAAAAGTTGAGAAAACCTATATAGAAATAGAAAAAAATAAATTCATAGTTTGAGTTTTTTTTTTGAAGGAATAATGTGATTTTTGTACATATCAAGTACTTCTAGCACATTCTTCAAGACTAAAATGGGATTTGAGTATAACTTGTTGTTATCATATTTCAGCATCCAAGGTAGTGGAAATTGTAGACAATACTGCTACGGAAACGTTTAATGGTGATGTATCCGTATTCTATTCTGGTGCCACCGAGGCTACACCTGGTACAAACTGCTCATGTCAAGTTACCAGTACATCTCAAATGACCATCGTATCAATATACGTATATCTAGACGAACTAACATGCCCTCAAGTCAAGTTAACTACAGATGGTGGTGTCAATATTGTTTCTTGTGATGCCACTGGATACCTATCTTTGGAAGATGATTACGATCCGGGAAATCAATTTTATTTGGAACTAAGCAGTTTAAATGCGACTGAATTCAACGTTATTTGGATCAAATTTAAAACTGGTAAGCTATCCTTTTCGTTTAAAAGTGCAGAGCTAACGATCGTGAAGCAAATTTAAATAATGTAATGCAGGTCAGCAACTATTTAAGTACGTTCTATTTCAGTTTTCATTATCCTCTTTTCCTGGTAGAGGAGGAGTAGCTACGCGACCTGGAAGACATTTGTGGGGATGATTAATAATTAGTTTTTACAGAGGGCGGCTCTCAACTAAAATTTCTAACAATTTTCGCTAAAATATTCCGGAGAAAAGTGCCTGATTCAAATGTACATGTGTACAAGAACAATATGTGGAATTGGATTTAGCGACAATAGTCCACCATCAGCGAAATTATAATTGTCAATTTTGTTTTAGATCCTGCAGCAGACATCAACGTACAATGCAACGGATGTAGTCGATCATCAACTGTAGCTCCACCTGAAGCTGGTAACTCATAGTTTTTAATATTTACATTGGAATACATTTTTAAAGAAAATAAAATCATAATTCTCTAAATATTCCTCACATGCACTAAAAATTAAAACGTCATCAACACAAATACAATATGGCTTACAAAATTGACATTGTGCAGTCACAAAATTTTTGGCATTACAAAAACATAGACTTTGGAAATAAAATCATAATGGCGTAAATATAAGCTTAGGCGTTACCGATACAGACTAAACTTCGTAGACAATCCTCTTTTGAATCCCCTTTATTTTCAAATCTCAAAATCTGTCCAAAGCGGAAGTACTATCGGTTCAAAATGGAAGTAATTTTTGATTTAACCTCGATGGGTTTTAACGTTGGTAATTACGTATTGTTTCAGATGTACCGTCGGTTGTTGCTACTTGCTATACGGATTCAGGATCTTGTTCAACAGTTTCTATCGAATGTACTACTGGCAATGTTATAGCACCATCAGTACATTACTTAGTGAAAAAACAAACACCAAATTCTTGTCCCGCACCAGCTGAAGATTGCAGTAATGTTTGTTGTACATTCGACGAAGCAGATTTCAACGATGTCAATAATGAATTGGCGGATGATATATTAAGTTACGTATCTGAATGTTTAAAGCAGGACTCGTGCCTTTTTCAATCCACATACGACGCAACCTTGTCGTTCGATTACAATGCTTATTTATATTATTGTATACCAGGTAAGTTCAACCGAAAATTGTCCAATCTATGAAGAACTAAGTGTACTAAGCCTTCGCCCACATTTTAATACACTCTGTTTCTACGGATCGCGAATAAGATATGTATCGGGTTACAGTGATAGCTGCACCATTTCGGGGGTTGATTTGAGCCTTGAATATAATTATGTTAAAAGTCTTCAGAAGTTCTAGAAATGTAAGAAAAATCGCACAATTCCTTCAAATATGTCTCATACTAGGAATTTTTGTTCCTATTTCTATAGATGTCTTTTTTGTATACGTTTCGAACACTAAATCCCATTTCTGAGGCGTATCTGTCCCTTTTAAACCTTTTTCTAAAGTTTGAAGACGAGTTTGGTACTGTTTATGTGGTATTATTGTATTAAGTAGTGAATCGTGTCTGCGATTCCACTCGCATTGTACAGCACTTCAGGTTTCTATTTGACGATATACATTGACAAATAGAAAAGCATGTATCATTATTACTTTAAATCGGTTAAGAGATATAGGTTATCGCCCTTTAATCACTACGAATGTACGATCTACAAAATCAGCATATCCTTATTTTAGAGACAAGCATCGTAAAGATGAGCGATAATATTGCTACTACGACCTTTACTGGAGAAGTATCTATATACTATGCTGCAGAAGAATTACCATTTCCTGGTAACAACTGTTCATGTGTCGTCACAAGTGCTACAAGCATGACCATTAAATCATATTACGCCTTTTTGGATTTGTCCTCATGTCCAAAGGTGATTGCTACAATATCTGGTACAGCTCTATACACGTGTGCTGCAGAAGGATATTTGTCATTCGAAGAAGAGTTTGGAACAACTAATCAACTATACATCGAGATTCAAAACAATGCGAATGCTGCTACAAATAATGTAATGTGGCTTAGTGCTTCGACAGGTAAACTTCGACCAGTTATCAAGAATTTAGGATAATTAGTTATTAATATGTAAAGCACAATAAACATAAAGAATTAAATGTGTCCACTTTTAGATCACTTTATGTTATTGTGAACTGCCGAAAATACTCTTGATACTTTTGAAATCGTGTTATATGGTGTTTCTGGGCCACCAGATATATACTATTAAGACTGGAAAACAGGCTATCGCTATGGTACTCTCTTAATAATTGTCGCATGCTAAATTTATTTGACATTTGTTCAGGTACTGGTGATGACATCAGCGTTAGTTGCTCTGGTTGTGAAAATACACCTCCAACTTCATCGACTGCAACAACAACGACTACACCGACATCATCTACTTCGACAGCTACATCGGCAGCAACTACTCAAATAACCTCGACAACAACTAATCCTTCAACAACCGAAACCGGAACAACTACATTAACTACTACTTCTTCATCCACAAATACATCTCCCACTTCATCACAAGAATCCGCAGCATCTACTAGTAACGCTGATACAGATAACTCAACAGCATCTAATACGACAAACCTCCCAATAAGTAAGTCTACCTTATAGTACCACGTTCCCAATGGTGAAGACTTTGTTGAGGCACACAAATAGCATGCAAGTTGTATACGTTACATTTCCTTTTTAATGAAACATGGTACTGATTTTTTAAAATCAAATTTTGTAACATTTTAATTTTAGATTCTGGAGATGGCACAGGAAGAGGTAAGTTCATTTAATATCATCGTCAGTTTCCTCATTTGACAGCATCGACAAGATACCAAGCATACTATTAATCACTAGCATCAACAAGATTTTGGAATGCGGGTTTGCGTTTAGTCAGGAAATCGATTCGCAGCAAATTGTGATGTTGTTCTGAGCGAGTCCTGTGATATTGAAATTGTAGGCACGACAAGCTTTAGGTTAACAACCCGTGCATTCCACGTGGAAATTGTTACTTGTTTCGTTGTTTTCTAATGAACAAGTAGTGTTATTGGAGTAATTGAAGGCTATTCGAATCCTTTTTTGAAAACTTTTAATCTTTTGATTAATATGTATATATAAATATAAAAGACAGTTTTAACAGCATACAACTTTTAAAGTCAACTTGCCATGCATGGCTTTTGAAATAAAAATAATATAGTCAGTTATAAATGTCATAATATACTTACAATCAAAATCTTGTGCCGATATATTTCATTGAATATATTACAGAGGTCTCAGATAGTTCCACTGGTTTGATAATTGGAGTAAGTGCTACACTTGGTGCTCTCGTTTTGGGAGTAACTGTAACTCACGGAATTCTTTATCTTATTCATAAGTAAGTTTATTATGCGACCATATTATATGGATAAAGGTGCGAGGAGCAGCAGCATAGCAGCTCACATTTTAACAATGTCAGCTATTACAAACTTCGTACTTATACCTTGACTATAATAGTCATTTTCTTTCATGTACGTTTGTAAATGAAGCGATTTGATTGGATTGTACGCTGGCGAAAACAAAAAGCCATAATGTTGCCTTTCTGTCGAGGGCTCTGATTGGCTTTATGCGCTGGTGTACAATCCAATCAAATCGTTGCATTCCGTCATACAAGAAAGGTGACTATTGCATTCAAGGTATGGTGCGAAGTTCGTAATAGCTTGACATTATGAGGATGGCTCGTCAGTAATATATATAGGTGATGCCAAATAGCCAAAAGAAAATGCTTATCTTTCGGAGACATCCTTTGTTGTTTTCTTGAGTAAGGTTTTGATCTTGACATGGTGGAAATTTCGTAACATCTTAACATTAACCTCTTATTTAAAACTATTATATTTTTATTACAGGCATAAGAATGCAAAGGTTTCACCATAAAAGAAAACTATGTGGACATCATACTATATGCTTGAAATATTTCTTTGATTTATTCGTTTAAAATTATTCGTAGCCTCTTTATGGAAACCTTTCTGTTTGCACTATTATTATTTTCTGTCCGGCATCTGTGGTTCCTTTAATTCCTGATAAACTTAACATATGAAAAGCTTAGAAAATTGTTTTGAATCTTTTTGATCTATTGAATATTGTTTCATTTGCATCGGAAAGATTTTATGAAGTCGGCCCGTGAACCTTGCAATTTACGTGGTTGCATTACATTTTACAAAAGAGACCGTGTCTCTAAATCCAGAAATTTATCTAAATACTTGTTTTACAAAATGAAAATAGGTGCCCTCACACTATAGCGATTACAAGTTGCGAAAAATAAAAGTGGGCTTGAGTAACGAACGTAACTCACAGCTCAGTTGTATAAGAGTTACGTTCGAAACATAAAATAATATGACCGCTAATTCTTAATCGCAACCATACACAACTGATGATCACTATGGTGTGAGAGGTCAAGGCCTTTAAAAATTTCATATTTTTGAAAAAATAAATAAAAAATCTAGATATTTTCTTGCATCCCGATAAAATATTGATGTTAAGGCATTTATTGCGATATGTTTATGAACAGATAGCGGGGTTAGTCTTACCTAACCACATTTCATACAGTGTATTGTTACAAAATATCAGTGATAACATTGTGATCACAGTATAGATATACTCATGTTGATAAACTTATCAGTTGGAGGGTGATTTGTTTTATTATTGCGAAATACTTCATTATCGGGCATTTGTTGCAAGCTATTACGGAAATTATCCCCTATCAACTTAATATATATAGGACATCTTCCTAACTTTCACCCCAAATAATCTTACAATATTGTTCTATACTTATCTCAACTATATACTATAGATTGGAAACGATAGGCTTGAAAATTATTCCTTAACCTAACCTACATAGCAAAATATTCTATAATATTAGCAATAACAAAGTATAAAAATTTTTACAAAAAAGTTATAACAAAGTATCAAAATTCTTATCAAAAAGCTATAACAAAGTCTCAAAATTATAACAAAATAGCTATAACAAAGCATCAGAATTATAACAAAATAGCTATAACGAAGTATCAGAATTATTACAAAATAGCTATAACATAGCATCAGAATTATTACAAAAAAGCTATCACAAAGTATCAAAATTATTACAAAATAGCTATAACAAAGTATCAAAATTATTACAAAAAAGCTATAACAAAGCATCAAAATAATTACACAAGGTAACAAAGTATCAGAATTTAAGGGTTAATAATATAAACAGGTTCTATAATTTATGACTTCATTATCAATATTCAGAGCACTGAGCACTGTGCCTTCTTAATATGATACTTTATTAAATATTTATTTAAAAACATTCTTTTGAGAGGTAGTTTCCTAAATGTTTGTTCATATGAACCTACAGGTTGATAGCTGAACAGATAGTACAAATTATCTTCTAGTAATTAGTATGCATTACCATGTGGGTTTTAAGAGTTGCTCATAAATTTGTAACAAATTTTGCGTTGGTAATGCTTATCTGCTTCTGCTTTTTACAAAAAATGTTTCTTCTTCATATGATCACTTTATTGTGCATTTCTCTTACATGTATTTTCAAAATATATCCGGTACTCAAACACTTTTGACATTTTTCACAATGAAAGAGTTTCTCTAATGTATGAGTTAACATGTGTATTGATTGAGCGTTTCTACACGATATAACTTTAAAACATTCTGGACATGCTTTACCATTATCTATGGAAGTTGACTGTGATGATGCCTCACTATATACAGCAGTTGATTTACCACTTTCTATTATAGTTTCTGACGATGAGGCTCCTCTATATATAATAGTTTCTACATTGGAATGCTTAGATCTGGTAGCTTTTTGTACAATTTGAACACTGGAGCGTGCCATTCTGTTTTGCAATCTTCTGTTTGACATTTTGTTTCGATAACGATGTTATTGTTGATAAACTTGCGCCTTCACAATCGATCATGTTGTAATCATGGCTCCTTTGTTCATAGTGATCAATTCTTTCAATTATGGACACGTCATTAATTTCCCATTGCATACAATCTTTGTGTTCTTCAGACTTCTTACTAAGATTGTTATTTATATTAGTAATACTATTTTCATTAATGTGTACAGTACTGTTTGTAGTTTTAATTTTATTGTTTTGAGTTCCACTGACATTGTTGCGAATTTCACTAACATTGTTTGGAATTTCCCTTCCATTGTTTTGAGGTTCACTAACATTGTTTTGGATTCCACTTACATTGTTTTGATTTCCATTAATATTGCTTTGAATTCCACAACCATTGTTTGGACTTTCACCGCCAATGTTTGAACTTTCACTACCTTTGTTTTGAGTACCACAACAATGATTGTTAATCCTACTTTCGTCAGTAAATCCATCATTTGTGAACTTGAACTCTTTGTCAGATGGACTATGATCACTATCTGTATCACTACCGGTTTCACTATAATAGTCGAATTCGCTCTCATCATCACTGTAGCAAATTACATAATAGTCATTTTCAACAGTTTCCTTAACTATTTTTGATATATTCACTGCTCCCATAAACGAGTGTTTCAAATTGAGTAAAATTTCTCTGATAACACAGATTATCCACATGTACATTTTCAACACTAACCTCAACGATAATCTCTTCATTATTACTAATGTTGGATTCCCCAGTATCAAAGCCACGAACTCCGAAACTCACTTCTGTCATTTCAATAATTACAAGTAATTCCTACGTATGCCCTTTTTCGTCCCGTCATTTGGCAATATGTGAGATACGTACACTTTCTTGCTCGATGTAGACATAATTGTATTGAATGTATCCCATGAGCTATTAACAGATATGGTTGCCCATAATTATAATTAACAATTGCCTTGAGGTTGAAAGGAGGATTTATTGATTTCAGTAGATTAAGTTCTAATAAACTATTGTTTAGAATCTCTCAGGGTACTTCACACATACAGAATAAGTCTATCGTACAATTATGATTAATCATTCTCGTTACCAATAAGAAGATGGTCTCAAATTTAATAGTGATAGCAAATCGATGAAAAAAACTCACACGATCGTTTCACCAGATTTTCAGCATAGTACAAACAAACAAGGGCAATAAAGGAAGGGGAAGCTAGACCTGGGCAAGTGAACGACGGCCAACAGAAACCTTGAAATTTAGTCTCTTCAAATTTTTTGAAATTTCTTTTTTTTTATTATCATTTAAATACTCTTTGTCCCTGTGAATGTAAGGAATAGACGAGGTAATAATAATAATAATAATGTTTATTAGCATTAAGTACATACATACTTTTTAAACAATAGAAAGCAATATAAATAAATAAGTGACTGTAACATGGTGTTAGAATAAGAAATTGTAATAAGAAATCGTGATAAAATAAATAAAAAACATAAACTATAAATAAAATGATAATTTATAATATTTACAATATGTACATGATATTATTTGTTTTGAAGGTGTGTTGAAGGTAAATACACAAAGGATGCTGAATTTTTTAGCAGATACAGTGTCTTCGGTATGGTATTTGATACGAGATTATCGATAGAGTAGAAAATAGAAGATAATCTCGTCCCTTACCCCGTCTATTCACAGCAATAGAATTTCACATATCTAATTAATCAATCAACCCATTAAATTCTTTTACTGAATCATTGCAGTTCTGCAGTGGACGTATCAAAATGTATGATTTTGATTATTTTGATATTATGAGATTTTTAAAGAGAAAATGACAATTTTAGCCTAAGATAACCAAAATTAGTCGTTATTGTTGTCGTTACTGTCATTATTTCCACAGTCAAAAGAGTCCAAATTATCAAAACCACTATGGGGAGCACTAAAGAAATCTCTAAAATCCGTACTTCCTGAAAATATCCCTGCACCACCACCACCCATTCCAGTGCTTCTGATATACCAGTCATCATCGCCGTCACCAAAACCAGATGTGGCTTTATTTGCAATGCAGGAAAATACTTTCATCACCATGTTGCCAGTAAAACCCAAAGCTGAAAGATAAATAAATTTATTAACATCAAATGGGACTTCCAGGGGACTCTCGGACGACCAAATAAAACGGGCGGACGGTTTAAACCAGTAGCTGATAACTTTTTTGATTTTTTGCTACCAGACACTCGAAGGACTGGGGTGATCGCGACAGATGTAGTGCACGATAGTGCTAGCAGATTCCAGACTTTTTTTCGCAAATATCTTGCCGATCGACAGAAAATAATGATCGGTACTATCGGGACAAAATCAATCGGGTCAAACTTGGATCAGTATTTACAGAAACTACCACTCGGTTTGCACAAAAGTGCTCAAAAGTCTTTACAACACAAGATATTTTAAACAAAATTAAACCCAAATCTGAAAGCAGCAATGTTTGATCTTTTCGAATTTAATTGCATGAACATCATCTCAAGTCGTTTTTACATATCTTTGTTTTAATTTCATTTGATGTGTCATAGCTTTAACAGTTATGCTGACTTTGACACTTATCTTGCTACCAACACTAAGTTTTAAAGTCGTCGTACATGGTGTTGTTTTTTTCTTCACTTTATCTTTTCCTCTAAATCCTGGATTAATCGTTTCATATCTCGGACATTCTCTCAGTGACCAATTCAATATCATGTTACAATGTGGACACCTCTTTTTATCCTGGCAAGAGAATAGCATTACAGTTCTTGATGGTAGTGATAATCTCTCGACTGAATGAGATAACTTATGAATATATCAATAAATAGTCATTTTAAATCAACAATCGGTAGTTTTTTCCAAAATTTACAGAATGATAGTCAGTTATCGACAGAGAGAGACAGAGAGTGTGTACATTTCAGGCAGCATCTCACTAAGACAAACAATTCAGTTTTTTATATACAATTCACACATAAATAAAGTGCAGTCGCCATTATGATTTTAAAAATTTCTTTGCAGCTTAAACCAAACGAAAAAAGTTTAGTGCATAATTAAGTTTTTAGTGAGTAAAGAACATTTTTTTTGACATCATAAAATTTCAATATCAAACTATATTCTTTAATGGATTCACAAGTCAGTGAGTTATGGAGATCGTCATAACAGCTTTTGGATCTAAAACTTTAATCTTTGATGTGTTCGTTAAAAAGAGTTTTGGAAGAGACGGTCGGTTGAAATGATACGAAAATACCGTTACCCAATTTTGCATATTCAAGCCCGAATCATCAAAATGACGTCATATAAAACACATATAATTAAGTTATTATTATAGAATCAGCGCACACCTTAATATTGAATATTACCATTTAATGTAGTACAATAAAAAAAATTTCCTACCTTGATTAGAGGGCGGCACACGGGTATATACTTTTAAATATCATTGATATATTACAAAAGCGATCTAACTTGATAACGAACGAGCGTGACATAAAGATAGTGAAAATAGTAGACATATCGAATTTCCTAGTTCAAGTTCCCTTCTCCATTATCATATCGTGATTACAGATTTAAAAATAACAAGCCATCAAACTAAACACATAACATAAATGTCCTGTTTTTCTGTGCAAGAAGAACATGCGGTTGTGTAAGGACGCCAACAATATCCGTCCATCAATCGTCACACTGTATGGCAACTTTAAACTTGGTCGTAGGCAAACGTAAAGAAAACACGAGAAATATTCCTCCAAAAATTACAAATTCTAAAACATTCGCCCCTATTCCTCGACCTATGTATGATGAAGTGTCTCGGTTACCTTTGCATGGGTAGCCTTAAGGACACCTTAACAGTGTGACGGGGCTATAACAAACACATTTCGTTTACATACAAGAATCGTAACTTTCTAATTGGAATTTTATGCTCATTTCAACTAATCAACTAGAGACTGGACTTTATTCATCTTATGTTCACATATAACGCATCTAAAATAATATCTGGCTTTGTCACACCAGAAAGGCATTCTTACTTCGCTGCTACTGCGACAGAAAATGGCTCAGAGCGTGTTTAGGTTGTCATAAGCGTGGTATAGACGTGAAGGACACGCCAGACATCTTGCAATTGTTCCATTTGTCGCCACTATTTGCCGAGTTATTCGGCGTTTATTTTGAATATGTTGAGAACGCGTTGAGAGCGCCAATGGATCGAAAAGGTCGTTAGACAAACGTTGTAACATCTCCTTGAGCAGTATAAAAGCACAGTACATGCGTGGCAAAGACGCTGCAATATAGTCCGTACCTAGCAGTACGATTTCGAGTGTTTTTGTTTGTAATGTTATAAACATTTTTCTCTAGTTTTCCGCACATTTAAGTGCGACCTAGTACCTGTTCCAGTAGCCGTAAGATCGTAAAACCTTTCCTATTTAAGTCACGGTCATTCTCAATTTTTATAAACAAGGACATGAATGGTAAATGCACTTTGATTACAAATTTTATTGATATCTTAAAAAGGTATATTATAAAGAAGACAAAATAACAAAAATGTCGACCAAATTTCTATTCGACTAGTTCACTTGTTTACTTGATTATTCATTCATGTATTCATGGGTTTGTCCCACTAATATATACAAACTATATCCTGGCCCCTTTTAACATTAACGCCATTAAATTTCACTCATTGAATGTCAAATTTTATAGGGTGTGGTAATTTCTTTACAAATTTTTTTTCATATAAATCGACAGTTTACACATAATAAAACACTAAGACAAGATATTGGCGAGCATAGGTGTGTATTCATTGTAAAGCCAAGGAGATGAGAACGAAAATATGGACAACTTTATTTTTGATGCTTCTGTCATTAGGTAAGAATATTGAAAGGTGTGAAAATTGAAACCACTTTTATTTTCAAAAAATGGTTGTTCGTGCCAATCTATGTTAAAGGGACAGTATGCAAAATTTTCAAAACTAGTTTTGATACTGAGTTGGAACCTTTAGTATCCGCAGGAAACTAGAATTATTCGTTTACTTTGCTTAAATCTGTACAGTAGGTTTCTTACACTTACCAAAAACATACCGAACTTAAAAAGTTCACGTACCTATTAAATAGTTTTGGCGTTAAAAATTTAACGCAAGATTTTTTTTAGTTAAAACGTTAGCAGAGTCAAGGGACACACTTCTCTAGATTTGGTGTATAGTTCTCTTGAATTTCAGGAAACACTTATAGCCTTACAAACTTGTTGTTCCGGGGATCATTCATACACACAAAAAGGGGACGTGACGAATATTTCCGAGAAGTATGAGTGTCCGAATTTCAATAATTATGAAAATAAAAAAGTATGTTCCCATCATACGCCTAAACTAATAAGGACTTGAGGATGAAGTATTCAAATTAACTTTTAAAGAGTTCACGAAACAAAGGTTTCAATTGATACTCATAAGCGTACCGAAAACATGCCCCATAACAATTAGGCCAATATAAAAACATTTTCAATTCTTTTTGTATTTATAGAATGTACCAATGCAATGGTAATTACATCAGGAATGTCACTGACTTCCACCAACAATAATCCAGCAGTTGATTCTTCAGTAACTCTAACGTGTCACACTCCAGGTTACGATGAAATAACATGGAGCGGACCAAATGGCGTGTTTATTATTTTCGCACCAAATTGTTTTAGATTATCAGAAGCAGAATCGACCCATATCACTTATATATCTGTATCTTGTGGAGGTGGAAGCAGTGTCTTGACTATTAATAACTTTGATCCTGCTCGAGATGCAGGAGGCTGGTCATGTTCTGGATACTCTACGATGGGATCATCTGATTCAGCTTCTATTACATTAACTGCTGCGGGTAAGTTCCTCTAAGAATTTATTTTTTCATTTCAGTACCTTGTCCCTTAAAAACAGGGGTATACAACCTTTTGGACTATCGGGAATATCCGCTCACCAGGAATTTTTTAAAAACCTATTATTGTCATTCCCTTGTAAACTATGTCCCAGTTCGGAAATGCACTAAATGTATCATGAACAAAACCACACTTTTTATCGAACAAATCAATATAGTAGCTGAAATCCAGTTCAGGTACCATACAATATATTACCTTTACGAAAGGATTTAATGTCAGAATTATGTTCATTACAGCTTCTGAGGTAGAAAACATCAAGATAACAACAGATTTAGCATTTATAGATCATTATGATACAATTTCATTATTATATGGTGAAAAAGAGACGATACATTGTTCAGCTGATTGTCAGAATAGTTGTCAATTTACATGGCATCTGAATAACCAACTTGTTTCATCATCTGATGAATTAGTAATTGATCTACAGAGTACACCAGCTACACCTGGTGGTAAATATATCTGTACAGCGAGTTCTGGTGGTGATAGCATTACAAAGAACGTAACAATAAACAGTACGTAATTTTTAATTAAGTTTAATTAGAGTTTTGAATTACAACAAGATTGGCTCGATTCCCCCTCAGCTAATCATATATGATATTGCTTCGATGGAAAAAAATAATTATGCATTTTCAGAAAAATATTTAATTTGTTTCCATTCACTGGCGTCCAATTGGGAGTTTTTTTTATGCACGTCTTCGCAAGCTACTTGTGAGAGAAATGTCAGTGCCCCTTCAGAGAAATCCCGGGAATAGGATGTGAGTAGCACGTCAGTTTGCTTGTCGACCAAAGGGAAAATGATATTGTCAATGAAAATGCGTCTAGGAGTGGAATAATCAAGCGCAAGATGAAACAGAGAAAATAGAGTGTACAAGATCTGGATTGAGCAAAAAGAGACATAAAGAAAAAGGACAAAAATTAATAATTCATCTAAAATATATTTTTTAACTTCAATGAGACTAATTCATAAAATTTTGTCGTAATACTTTAAGGGTTATGTCTACTCCGACGGGAGGAAATTTGCTATACATGTACCCGACATCTCCATAGGGGTCTTCTTCTTCTTCTTGACATTGGAAACTACATCACTGAAAAGTATGAGCAAATAGTTCTGTCTGTTAAATACATTATATTATCGATTTCAATATCATTTTCATAGATTTACTAGTTAACTGAATTGTTTTGAATGGTTATTACAATTGTATAAAGATAAAGGTACATTGTCGTTAGCGTATATTCGAATTGTTTATTGATGCCCAAAGTTAATCATTCGGTAGGGATATAGGGGTTTCGTGGGTTATTTACATTGTCAACGTAAGGTAATCTGTATTGTTCACTAAGTGGAATAAACATGTAGTACAAAACCACCATGCTATTCCTTGAGAGAACTTCTCAAACGGATATTTGTATTTGGACAGTTTCTTGTAGACCTTCTTCCATTAAACAGAAAATCACTATCCACAGTTCAGATAAGTATTACATCTGCGGCAAGACGATTTATCATCGATATAATGGTAAGATGACGTGCAACTCGCACCCCATTCCCGCGAACAGCTCGCAAACGTTTTTTGTCTCCCAAGTGGAAGGGCACTCTCGTTTTTGTCTGTCGTTGATCAACTCTATGTGAGTAAGTCGCAATATACTTACTCTGAAATGGAGACAGCGATAGAATTCCTCTCGCTAGTAAGTCAAAACTCTCATGTGGACGGTTCCTATCTGATATCATTAACACTACTATACGTTTAAATACACAATCAATTTTATTGGTAAATTATATTGTAGGATGGGCAAGAGACACTATTATATTTTCACCACCTGATGATATACTAAATGTAAATGAAGGTGATAATGTTACAGTTATTTGTGATGGGACGACGAATAGTCACTACTGTTCTGGTCCAATGAACTTTGAGTGTTATACATCTTGGAACACAATGTCTGCCGGTTATACGTCATCGCCACTTGAGTTGAGTTTCTACAACATAACTCTTGACAAGACTGGAAGACATTACTGTATTCATAATGAATTTGAAGAATCTTCTAATACCCAAATTAATCTCTACAAATCAGTACAGATTAATGTTATTGGTAAGGCATTATACATCGTACATACATAATAACACATAATAATGTTCCAAATTATTATATATATATACCTTGTTTCACTTCTCCAAGGTAATACATGTTCATGATGTCACATGATTTTTAAAGGGGCAGTCTATTGTTTTTTTTGTAGGTCGAAATTCTTTTGCTCAAATTTAAGAAAACTAGACAACGAAAATTAGAGAAACATGCCCCTTAACGTATCTGAAAGTTTTAGCTAAAAAAATCCAATGCTTTTTGCTAGGTGTGAGAAATTACTGTAGGCAAAATAAACGCTTTAATGTATCTAAATATGTCTCCTACTTTTTCCTTTGGAGCCAATATAAAGTCAAGCACCAAAACTAGGTCAAACTGCTTAATTAACAATTAGTACTCTCCAATTTTAATAAACCATTTTAAAGCAAATTCAGTTTGATCAAGAAGATGCATAGATATAAATAGCATACTTTAGAATTATTTTCAGATATACTACCGTTTTTAATAATGAAAATTTTGCATACTGCCCCTTAAAACTTATAAATGCTTATGCTTCTATGGTAATTTTTATCGTCAGTTGCTTGGCAGCACAGGACTGAAACATTGAAATGAATGTTTTTACGTCATGAGGGTAATTTTCTAAGGACAGCGGCATAGCCTATTCTCTTTCGAAACATAAGTCGAATTTTTATCAGTCAAGCCAAATTGATATCGATGTGTAAATAAGAAATATTAGAAGAGACTATCATCTTTATGAATCCAATTATTTACAACAACGTCCGCAGTATCTTCAAAAACAGCAATAACAATCAACCAGACAGCCACAACTGCACAATTTTCTTGTTAAAATATATTAACAATCATCAATCAAAAAGCAATTCAGGATATCATATATTGTATTTTAGTTTTATAGTTATCTTATATTATGTAATAATACATATTTATTATAAATGAATATAATAATTTACAGACAGTTCAACGTCAGCAACACCATCAACAACAACAACAACAACACCATCAATACCATCAACAACACCATCATCAACAACATCAATAACACCAACGACACCGTCAACAACCGAACAGCCAACCACAACTACACAGGGTATCGTATGATTTTCATCAAATTATATATTGTTATTTTATATTGCATAACTTATGCTAATATACATTATATTATAAGCGGAAGTTTTACAACATAAACTTTTGTATGATATATTATGTTTTTTTTATATTTATCTTACATGAAGTCAAAGATAAATTGAGTTTTACTATGGTTTGAAAATTAATTCCTCAGTTTTTTTTTAAATTTGTTTGACCTTGACGTATGAGTTGTCTATTAAAGATTTTCACTAAAATATGGCTTTGGCATTTATAATCAAGCAAATATATTTATGCATCCGTAATCTATACCACTTCACATACCCGAGAAAGAATATGAACTACTTGTGTACTCAACTCGTGTTTGTGTTGTCATATTGGATGTGCATGCATATTTTTCCTCCAAAAAAGATCTTGACACCCACGTACAATAATTTATCCAGCTCGTCAAAGAAAAACTAAAGGCGTTTAGAGACAGTAATTATTTTCATATTCTTTTTACTTTTTAGATACACCAGGAATGTCATTGACTTCCACCAACAATAACCCAACAGTTGATTCTTCAGTAACTCTTACCTGTCAAACTCTAGGTTTCGATGAAATAACATGGAGGGGACCAAGTGGAGTGTATATATTATTTATAAATTGTTTAAGACTATCAGAAGCAGAAACAACCCGTATAACTTATATATCTGTATCTTGTGGTGGGCTCTTGACTATCAATAACTTTGATCCTGGCCGAGATGCAGGGACTTGGTCATGTTCTGGGAACTCTATAGGTATGATGGGATTATCTGATTCAGCTTCCATTACCTTAACTGCAGCGGGTAAGTTCAGCCTTGAAATATTTTTTTCGTAGTATAGTATCTTGACTATTATGAATTTAGATCCTGGTCGTGGTACAAGACCTAAGGTCAATGGTATACACCCTTGTACCAAGACTACCCGCTTCCAATGATCTAACAAGTGAACAAAAAAAAGTATTATTTATAAAAATTCATTGTTTCATTTTATTGTTAGGTATGTCCCTATTCGGAAATAAATTAATTCAGTATTTCTCAACCTTTATGATCCTTTTACAAATAAATACAAAAAACTGTAAAACTTAGCACGGTTTGACACATAAAGATCAATGGAGATGTCAAAGCCCTTCAGTCAAAAGTTTGTGCTTGGTGTTTTTGAAACGGGTATTAGCAGGTCTTCAGGCGTAGATCACCACGTCTAGACTGCCTCTTTTTCTTGGTTGATATAATTTCTACGGTGCTCAAATTTGGATAGTTTTGGATGTTATCTTTGTCAAGCCTCATGGACTGGTGCTTTTCTCCAGGTGGAAAACATTTTCAAATTAAACCAATAAAATCATTGTTGTAATTCAATTAAACGAAGATAACCACACTGAAATGATTGAATACTAGAATTATGTTCATTACAGCTTCTCACGTAAAAAACATCAAGATAACAACAGATATAGCATTTATAGATCATTATGATACAATTTCATTATTATATGGTGAAAAAGAGACGATACATTGTTCAGCTGATTGTCAGAATAGATGTCAATTTACATGGCATCTGAATAACCAACTTGTTTCATCATGTGATGAATTAGTAATTGATGTGCAGACACCTGGTGGTAAATATATGTGTACAGCGAGTTCCGGTGTTGATAGCATTACAAAGAACGTAACAATAAACAGTACGTAATCTTTAATTTCAAACAGTTATAATTAAAAACTCTGAAAGATAATTGTTTTTATTTCCTGATACACTCTCATATAATGTAACATTGCTTAAATAGAACAGAAATAATTTGTTTTTAAGCAAGGAAACTTATAATATAATAGTATTTTGATTGGTTATAGTTAAAATAATGATAATCGTTAACTCAACAATTCGTTTTAATTTATTGATAAATATATTGTAGGGATGGAAAGAGACACTATTATATTTTCACCACCTGATGATATACTAAATGTAAATGAAGGTGATAATGTAACAGTTATTTGTGGTGCGAATAGTTATTACTGTTCTAGTCAAATGAATTTTGAGTGTTATACATCTTGGAACACAATGTCTGTCGGTTATACGTCATCACCACTTGAGTTGAGTTTTTACAACATAACTCTTGACAAGACTGGAAGACATTACTGTATTCATGATGCATTTGAAGAATCTTCTAATACCCAGTTTACTATCTATAGATCAGTTCAGATTAATGTTATAGGTAAGGTGTTATCTGGTTTGTTTACTTTGGCCCTCGGTAGAAAAAACAGACCAAGCGAAACAATTTGATTAGAAAAAACGCACTAAGTTGAAATTCATAGAATCAAAAATTTTTGACTGTATTATTGAGACATTTTGTGAAACAAGCTTTTGTCTTTATCTGTCGAAGTGGTCAACCAGGACCAATCAATATGAATGAAGTCCTGTACAGTCTTAACCTTTTGTAACGTATGTTATCTCATCCCCTTTTCTGTTATTAAACATTGTACATCGACTACCTCGTGTCTTAATGGGACAGATACGCCATTCGTTCAACCAAATGTAAATTGATCAGCTAAGATCATCAGTAATAGTGTTCACAGCTCATCTTCGCACTTTGAGCCTTCAAATCCATGTGTATCCAGAATTATCCGCGTTTGAAAGTATAAAAGACGACTCGTCTATTCTTGAAACTATTCCTTATGTAGAAAAGACACATATATAACTAGAACGTTAAATTCCTAGTAAGAATTATTTTTGAAGGAACAGCATCTTGTACAACAACATCTTCTCTTAGTATTACTACGAGCCGAATTTCTTGCATCGTGTCTCTTCTAACGTCAACATGTGGTATAACACCATCAAACTATTTTAAACACATCTTTTAACTCCTGTAATCATATCCTTAACTTCTGTATAATAACACTATCAACATGTTATATTATATATATATCATTAATGATTCCAATTATTTACAGCAAATTCAACGTCTGCAACGTCACCATCAACAACAACCCAACAGCCAACCACAACTACACCAGGTAGTTTATATCATTATTATTATATTGTATGATTCATTGTAAAATATATATATATATGTAATTATATATTGTGTAATATAACTACTTGCATAAATATTCTTAGAATTTTCGTTAATGAAAATATAACAACTTGCCCTTTGTTATACTGGCACTATTTATGACAGTAATCATATGAGCTAAATTTATACGACATAACACCTGACAAATCTCTAGCCAAATATGGTAGATTGGAATTTCATACATATAATTAAAGATTAACGAACGCGCTCTACCTAAAGTAGGAAATAAATTGAAACATGATTGAAGCTGATAGAGAACGGCAATAATTTTCAGATTTCATTATTTCTTTTTTAGATCCATCAGGAATGTCACTGACCTCCACCAACAATAACCCAGCTGTTGATTCTTCGGTAACTCTTACCTGTCAAGCTCATCGCTTAGATGTCGTAACATGGAATGGGCCAAATGGAGTGTATATAAGTTTCTCGACAGGTTGTTACAGATTAATAGAAAAAGAATCAAACCATATTTCTTATATATCTGTATCTTGTGGAGGTGGAAAAAGTGTCTTGACTATCAATAACTTTGATCCTGCGCGAGATTCAGGAAGTTGGTCCTGCTCTACATATTCTGATTCAGCTTCCATAAATCTAATTGCTATTGGTTAGTAGACCTAAAATCTTTTTCTTATTATAATCTCTTTGATTTTGAATATTATAAAGTTAAGTGGACAAAACCGAGGACGGGTTTCAATTCTCATTAGTTATTTTCCTTTACGTTAACCCTACCTATTTCATTTCTGTTTTCACCGTAGCAATAATAAAAATATTGTTGCTTGACTGCATTCAAATAGATGACATTAATGAAATGATTTAATACTAAAGTTATGTTCATTACAGCTTCTCACGTAGAAAGCATAAAGATAACATCAGAAATAGCTTATATAGATTATCATGATTCAATTACATTATTAAATGGTGAAAAAGAGACGATACATTGTTCAGCTGATTGTCAGAATAGTTGTCAATTTACATGGCATTTGAATAACCAACTTGTTTCATCATGTGATGAATTAGTAATTGATCTACAGAGTACACCAGCTTCACCTGGTGGTAAATATATGTGTACAGCGAGTTCTGGTAGTGATAGCCTCTCAAAGAACGTAACATTATACAGTATGTAATATAGTTTCTATAATATAATCTGTCTCACCCGCTTGTGAGTGTATCTAGACTCGTGTTCAGTGAGGGTTGTGGAGGGGGGGGGGGGGGGGGGGGGTGTGGGTCCTTAATAAGCTTTTTTGGAATAGTCATGAAATCACTCGCCAAAATCTTTTTAAAAGGTTAAATTGTGGGATCAAAAAGAATTTTTTTGAATTGGAAACCTACTTTACAAACATGTCTGCACCCGAATGTCAACAAAAAACTACCATTAAAATTTGATGAATTTTAGTCGGAGGCAACTCTGTTTTCGTTAAGAATTTTGAAATATAAATCAATAAATGATACATTTTATGTGCCTTTCCAAAATTCCATGATGGCCGATGTCCATCATGTCGTCCTTGAATCGTTAATTTGAATACTTATGAATTTATTTGTACAGTTGTACTACAAGAGTCTAGCTACAGAACAAATATAATATTTGAAATTTGAGTCTCTTTCGGAGAGTACACAAAGTTGATAATGGTAACTGGCATTTATTAATATCCAACCCTTGACAAAAATACAACGTTGTTTTATTATAGCAAAGTCAAGAGATACGATTAAATTTTCGCCCCCTGATACTATACTAAATGTAAATGAAGGTGATAATGTAACAGTTATTTGTGACGGGATGGATGATTATAGCTGTTCTGGTTTCGAGGGGGTGGATTGCACAGATTCATGGAATACAATGTCAACATCGCATGAGCTGAAGTTTTACAACATAGAACTTGACAAGACAGGAAAATATTACTGCATCCATGAGGTGAATGAACAATCTTCTAATACGCGGTATAAATACTACAGATCAGTACAGATTAATGTTTTATGTAAGTAGCTTTTACTAAGTAAACTTTTCAGAACAGTTTTTATTACAGCTCAAAACCACGTTCTAAACTCTTATGATCATTTGCATGATTTTCTTTCGGTTTTTCGGAAACGTGTGGATATGATAGGGACGCAGGCTGAAATAGGTCAGTTGTCAGAAGATCGCATAGCTTGAAATGTTTTTTTAAGGTTCTGTTTTAAAATTTTATTTCTATATATTATATAACGGGTATCTTTTTAGTTTTATCTAATTCATATTTATTATTTATGAAAATAATTATTTACAGCAAGTTCAACGTCGACAGTATCAACAACATCAACAATACCAACAACACCATCAACAACAACAACCCCATCACTAACAACACCATCAATAACCGAACAGCCAACCACAACTACACAGGGTATCGTATGAATTTCATCAAAATATATATTGTTATTTTATATTGCATAACTTATACTAATATACATTATTTTATAAGTCGAATTTTTACGACATATATTGTGGTATAATGTATTATGATTATCATATAAGATGTACCTTATATGAAGTTAAAGATAAATTGAAAATGTTACTTTGGTATTAACACCTCGTCTGTTGTATTCAAACTTGTTTGGCCTTTGGCATATTTACTAGAGATATAGCTATTGCATTGATAATTAATCAAAGATGGTATTTTGTCCTAAGCAATCAATGAAAACTAAATGCGTTCTACTTAAATAAAGACTGCAATTATTTTCAAATACTTTTTATATTTTAGATACACCAGAAATGTCACTGACTTCCACCAACTATAACCCAACAGTTGATTCTTTAGTAACTCTTTCCTGTGTAGCTTCAAGTTACGATGAAATAACATGGACGGGACCAAGTGGAGTGTATATATTATTTTCAGGTTGTTTCAGAATATCAGAAGCAGAATCGACCCATATCACTTATATATCTGTATCTTGTGGAGGTGGAGGCAGTGACTTGACTATTAATAGCTTTGATCCTGCTCGAGATGCAGGAAGTTGGTCATGCTCTGGAAACTCTATAATGGGATTAACTGTTTCAGCTTCTATTACCTTAACTGCAACGGGTAAGTTTACCGATGAAATATTTTCTTCGAAGTATAGTATCTTGACTATTATAAATTTGGATCTTGACCTTAGGTCAATGATACACACCCTTGTACCAAGACTAGCCGCCCTCAATGATCTAAGATGTGAACCAAAGAAAAAAGAAGAATTTTTTTGATTGTTGTCATTTCAATATTAGGTTCCTAATTTCTCAATTTTCCACTATTCACAAAAGTCCCCACTTTGTGTGTAATACACTCCCAAGTCCCCCTCATTCCAAATTTCACCCCACGAATTTCGAATTAACCCCTGGGGTGCATATGAAGCACTACACTAAATGTATCATCAGCAAACCAATAATTTTCATCAAAGTAAATCAATAAAATTGTGGTTGTAATTCGGTAAAACGATCTAATATAACCACACTGAAATGATTGAATACTAGAATTATGTTCATTACAGCTTCTGAGGTAGAAAACATCAAGATAACAACAGATTTAGCGTTTATAGATCATTATGATACAATTTCATTATTATATGGTGAAAAAGAGACGATACATTGTTCAGCTGATTGTCACAATAGTTGTCAATTTACATGGCATCTGAATAACCAACTTGTTTCATCATCTGATGAATTAGTAATTGATCTACAGAGTACACCAGTTTCACCTGGTGGTAAATATATGTGTACAGCGACTTCTGGTGGTGATAGCATTACAAAGAACGTAACAATAAACAGTACGTAATCTCTAATTAAAAGAGGTGTAAATATTAAATAATTTGCAAGATACTCGCTTCTTTTACTTGATGCCCCTCGGCTAATCAATTGTAGAATTGCTAAATGAAATAGAAGCAATTTGTCTTGAAGGAAGTTAACTTGATATAATAGTATTTTCATTGATTATTGTTAAATGAACTGAACACGCTTAAATGACTTCTTTCCTTGTATCATGGACGACTGCGTACTGCACACAAAGATTCTGGTTCTAGTTGTGTATTTATTCACATTGGGTACGGACAAGACTCTAACTGTTCCTAACTGATAATTACTAACTCAACTATTCGTTTTAATTTATTGATAAAATATATTGTAGGGATGGAAAGAGACACTATTATATTTTCACCACCTGATACTATACTAAATGTAAATGAAGGTGATAATGTAACAGTTATTTGTGATGAAAATAGTTATTACTGTTCTAGTCCAACGGGTTTTGTGTGTGATATATATTGGAACACAATGTCTGTCGGTTATACGTCATCACCACTTGAGTTGAGTTTTTACAACATAACTCTTGACAAGACTGGAAGACATTACTGTATTCATGATGCATTTGCAAAATCTTCTAATACCCAAATTAATCTCTACAAATCAGTACAGATTAATGTTAAAGGTAAGGTATTATATGGTTTGGTTACATTGGCCCTCGGTAGAAAAACAGCACAAGCGAAACAATTTGAATAGAAAAACGCACAATGGAAATAACATGTTTAAGATTTAAATTTACAGAATTTAAAAATATTGACTTTATAATTAAACCATGTACTACTAACCGCAAACGAAACCCGAAATTCAAACAGCATATTGGCAAAACATTGATACCAGCAAATGAACTTTTCACATGAGGAGCTATATCAATCATAAGTGAGTAAGTATTTCATATTGCAAAGTTGTTTGAGATTTTTTTTTTTTGTAAATAAAAATTCTTTGAAATGAGCAAATCATTTGTTCAATGTGTGATTTTTAAAGACGATCGATAATGACCTCAAGGTAATAGTGGTACATTAGACTCTGATCTGATCATAACATAATATTCCGAACCGTTCATAATCCAATTGATTTTCCATCAACTGGATTTTAAGCTCTACGACCAAACTGTTCTTCTTATCTCTTATAGATTAAATATCCCCAACCACTTTAAGTGACTTTTTCTGTTACATCGTCGTCAACTTCACAGAAATGAAATTAAACCTTAAACTTCTGTTTTAACGCCAGATATATATTAAATTATTGATGGTTTATTTTGCAGCAAGATCGATTACATTTACAACACCACAAGGTAGTTCTTGTTTCTTTGTTTTTTCATAAATATTTTAATATAGTGAAATTAATCGAATAACAAATATTTTCACTGTCAAAATTTTACTCCTTATCAATTGTAGAGCGATATTTATTTATATATCTTGATATTCAATAGATTTATTTATTTCTTAATATTCACTGTTTAGAGTAATACTTTTACTAACAATATGGCTTTCATACAATGTATATTATCCTTAGTACGAAACGTGAAGAATGATGCGCAGGCTTGGCAGAGTTCACACAAATCGATTATCCTTTAAGATAATCCATATGTTAAGATGTGGTTTCACTATTTTTCAGATCCGATTATTTGTTTGTTTTAGATACACCAGGAATGTCACTGACTTCCACCAACTATAACCCAGAAGTTGATTCTTCAGTAACTCTTACCTGTCAAACTCTAGGTTTCGATGAAATAACATGGACGGGACCAAGTGGTGTGTTTATTATTTTCGCACCAAATTGTTTCAGAATATCAGAAGCAGAATCGACCCATATCACTTATATATCTGTATCTTGTGGAGGCGGAAGCAGTGTCTTGACTATTAATAACTTTGATCCTGGTCGTGATGCCGGGCGTTGGTCATGTTCTGGAAACTCTGTAGGTATGGTGGGATCATCTGATTCAGCTTCCATAATCTTAACTGCTGCGGGTAAGTTAACCTAAAATTCATTTCTTACTGTAGTATATTACTGTAGGGCTTGAATTCACATTAAGCGTGTCATTTTTAGGTCTGTCCCACCCAGATCGATATACACAAATATATTCGATTTTAATAAATGTATCATCAGCAAACCCACACCTTTCATAGAAGTTATAGAAGACTACAAGATTTGTCTTTGTTTAACATACTTTAAATAACTAACCTGAAAATAATGTCAGAATTATGTTCATTACAGCTTCTGAGGTAGAAAACATCAAGATAACAACAGATTTAGCGTTTATAGATCATTATGATACAATTTCATTATTATATGGTGAAAAAGAGACGATACATTGTTCAGCTGATTGTCAGAATAGTTGTCAATTTACATGGCATCTGAATAACCAACTTGTTTCATCATCTGATGAATTAGTATTTGATCTACAGAGTACACCAGCTACACCTACACCTGGTGGTAAATATATGTGTACAGCGAGTTCTGGTGGTGATAGTATTACAAGGAACGTAACAATAAACAGTACGTAATATAGATTATAACTATAATAGATAATACCTACAGTACATTAGCGAGCATCGTGTCCAAACCACACCCCCATTCGCCATACTTCCTCGGGGCCGTGGTATTACAAGTGAAAAAATTACGTATTCATAGCTTAATATTGTCCGATCAAAATTGGCACTACTGTATTGGTAGCAAATTTTATCCAATCAAAACAAATCACTCGTTATGACGCTTTGTTCGCGAACGTAAACGAAACGAAAGCAGTGTGCCATTATATATTTTGATGAATACGTACGGTACAAAATTGAAAAATATTTTTGTTGAAGCCGAGAGAAAACCAAACCTTACTTTAGAATATTTACTTGGAAAAAATCGTATCTCTTCAAACGGGCGGTAGAAAGCGATGTGCTTTGTTTACATGACCTCATTTCTGTTCTACCGTACTGATTGGTCAGATTTAAATGTCACCAATCTCATTTCCACGCCCCAAAATGAAGTGTAGAGGGCTTAGTTTAATACGGGTGAATAAGACTATAAGTAGCGGGTATCACAAGCTAGGTAGTATATGCTTACTATATTAAGCCATCTGATACAAGTTCTCAGTTGAGTTTGTCAAATCGCTTCTATTTCTGAGAGCTCACAGTGTTAATTTCATTCGAAAACTCCAGCTCCGTTTACTTTTTTTTTTACATTGATTTGTTCAGTTCTAGTAATATTGCGACCTTTATAATTTTAGAATTACAGGCTAATTTAAATTTTTACCAAACACTTCGTTCCGTTTTATTTGCTTTTTTTTCAAGAGGGATGTCGTTATACCCTTACTAAAGTGGCTATAAAAATAAAATCTAATAGAAAACGAACGAAAGTTTGGTCTATTTTAATAAGACTGGTAGAGTTAGAGCCAACAATGGTTATTTATGACACTTCTCGTACTTATGCTATTTAGTGGCTATTGCTTTACAAGTTTTTTTCAATGACTTTGTTTACACAAGCTTGTAGTGCTGAACGACCTGAATTCTCTAATCACGTGATCACGTGACAATCTGGACAAAGTTGTGGTAAATTATGTTTGCCGTAATGTGTTTGAGAGAGCTAGGGGTAAGTTTGTGTTAGTTTGTACAGCTGGTTTTAATTATTATCCAACTTGCAGGAAATAAATTGTCTGTAATCTTTGTTATTTTATAGTGCAGTCAAGAGAAACTATTATATTTTCGCCACCTGATGATATACTAAATGTAAATGAAGGTGATAATGTAACAGTTATTTGTGACGGGAAGACGAATGATTATGGTTGTGCTATTACCGGAATTCAATGTACAGATTCATGGTATACAATGTCAACATCACATGAGCTGAGGTTTTACAACATAGAACTTGATAAGACTGGAAAATATTACTGCATTCATGAATTCTATGAACAATCTTCTAATACGCGGTATACATACTACAGATCAGTACAGATTAATGTCATTGGTAAGTAGCTACATTGGCGTTTCTACTTTCTCATCATATTAACATTTTACATAGGGAAAGAATGGCTAAAAACGACACGAAATTCTAATTCAAATTAGACTGAATTTATGCTGCAATCAAAGACAATTTGACCACAGAAAACAGCTATTGGTCGTTTGAAGGTAAACTAGTTTCAGTCGCATTTTACCCTTTTATCTGGTATCACGTCCCAAGCTTTTATTAATATTTCTAAAACCAAACTTTCTGTTGCAGCAACAACGACTTCTGTTTTATCCTCATCAACATCTGGAACAACATCAACTATTCTTGTAACATCATCATCCACTTCTGTTTTATCCTCATCAACATCTGGAACAACATCAACTATGCCTGTAACAGCATCATCCACTTCTGTTTTATCCTCATCAACATCTGGAACAACATCAACCATGCCTGTAACAGCATCATCCACTTCTGTTTTATCCTCATCAACATCTGGAACAACATCAACTATGCCTGTAACAGCATCATCCACTTCTGTTTTATCCTCATCAACATCTGGAACAACATCAACCATGCCTGTAACAGCATCATCCACTTCTGTTTTATCCTCATCAACATCTGGAATAACATCAACCATGACCGAAACAACATCACCGACTTCTGTTTTATCCTCACCAACATCTGGAACAACATCAACTATGCCTGAAACAACATCATCAAATTCTATTACCACATCCTATACCTCAAACACCGCTTATACAGAAACATCACCAATTTCCGCTACAACGCCATCTACTTCTCCCTCAACAGCCTCAAGTAAGTGATTAACAACCGACATCATACTTATGGCTTACCAAAATTTAAAAAAAACAGATTCTAACTGATTCTTGCATTATACTCACAATCATTCACAATATAAGCTCTTTCGTGCCGATTTTGACATTTTCTTTTGGTTTAAATTATATTTTAATGTGATTTACTCCTCCCTTACGGAGTAAAAGCAAGTCATAAACCAATTGCCAAAATTCATTTTAGGTTATATTACCAGCTTAAGAGTTGATTCATCTAGCGATCCGCAGCATGTACAGGAAGGAAGTGACTTAAAATTGACCTGTTTTGCTGATTGCCAACCTGTTGATAGCTGTGTTTACACCTGGAAATTTAACGACAATATGATAGCCAATACTCATGAATGTAAAATGGACAACATAACCCGACAAGCAACGGGTACTTATACCTGTTCAGCCAGCAATGGACAGACAATGTCTAAGGCAATCGACGTGAAAGTCAACTGTAAGTACAAATTTCAAATCAATTTAGGGCAATCAATGTCACACGCAATCGACGTGAAAGTCAACTGAAAATCCATATTTTGAGCTAATTAAACATGGTTTTGGATACCTTAATCTTTATAATTTGTCCTGGACTTGCAAACTTCCTTACAATAGTCCCAATTTGAATTATTATTAAAATTCTTACAATAGTCCCAATTTGAATTATTATTATAAAATTCAATTAAGATAAGATCGGTATTGGCGGCAGTGGCCCATCCAGAAAATTCGACGTTTTTCAGTTCAACCCAGCTCACTTCCTCTCTCTATCCCCAAAACTCTCTGATTTTTTTTTCTAGATCCTCCTTCTGCCATGACAATATCACGAGTTCCAGATAAATCAGCCTACAATGTTAAGAGTAGCATAACATTAACATGTAACGTAGATTGTGTTCCTAAACCTACATTAACATGGAGAAAGGGATCTGAGGTTATACTTATATCGAACACATTCAATTACTTATCTCTGTCCAATGTTTTAACTGGAGATTCTGGAGAATATACGTGTACTGCTGATAATGGCATTGGAGATCAGACTGCAACAACCTCTATTAATATTAAATGTAAGTATTATAAGGCTTGTATAGATGAAATATCCCCTAGTTGTCAGAGTATGTATGTAACTTTCTCATACGCTGGTAATTCTTCAAACAATAAAATTCTAAGGTCTTTAATTCTTATATTTGAATATATTTCTTAATATATCTGATTATTGTATTATGTCGAATTGGTTACAGATTGGAATCCAGTTGGTTGACATATATCCTAATCCTTAATTTGGTTAAATGGGAGAATGACATGTATTAGTAAGATTAGTAAAAGTTTGTCATTATAAGGCTTTGTTTTCTTGCTTTATTTGTCAATATAAGTGTCCATGTGTCGTATATACAGCTTCAGAAAAGCTAATCTCAATAAATCACCAATAATAATATTAAATCTTACTGTTTACCAGAATGTATCAATGTATTATTCAAATTGTAAATTCTGTCTTTCGTGACTTTTACATCGGCCATTGTCATGCTTTTGCGCTTATCAATTATTATATTGTTGGCACAACCGTTCACCTGGATGGTTTTTTCTTTCAGATATACCTTCTGGATCTGGAGGTTCCGGAGCTAGTTCTATGTACTGGATGTCATCACACAAGATTCTGTTGATGATCGTCATTGTTTACATTCTTCATTAATCATTTTAAATGTTTTTAATGACCAAGAGCAATATTCATGTATATGAAATAAATATTTAACATCAAGATTACATTTTTTAGACGAATGTTGGGCCACTTTCTACGTCCCGGTTGTGGTACAGATATAAAGGAATAGGTACTCAAAGTCTTCGTACACGTATATTTATCATCAATACTTCTCGTCAGCGTTAAGGCGTCTTGTTCGACAGCAAAGAAGCGAATTTTGCCCGGGCGGAAACGCTAATGGACATGTAGATAGAGTTAATTCAGTTTATTACCTCTATCATGTTCAGATTCAGCCAGTGAATGATAACCAGGTCTCTGATAGGTGTAGTATTCAATATAGTTCTCGCACAGAGTTTATTTCATTATCAAAAGATAGCTTGCCAGGCAAGCTAATATACGCCCACTGGCAGCTTTGATTTTGAACATAAATATTTAGCAGTACAGTAGCAATCACCAGTATGAAATATTCAACCTTCAGTCATACACTTCTTTTGAACTCTTTAGAGTATGAGTTATTGTCCTAGTTCTTGAAAACGTGTTCAATCTGTAGCTCGTGAAAACTCTAGAAGGCAAATATTCAATCTTCAGGACTGAATAATAAAACCAAGTTTTGTCAAAATCCAGAAAGAATCATGCCTTTTAGTGTTTAAGTGCTAAATTTGAAAGCGGTTTCAAGAACAAGGGCAATAACTCATACTAAATATTTTTCAATTCTTTTGATTTTCAATAGGGTTCATCCTTGGGTGATTACGAACATTCACACCAAGTTTCATCAAAGTGATTACGTGCTAAAAATTGAACGCGTTTTCAATCGCAAGGGCAATAATTCATACTAAATATTTTTCGATTTTTTCTGATTTTCAATAGGATTTACCCTTGGGTAATAACAAACACTCATGCCAAATTTCGTCAAAATCCGTCAAGAATTGTTCCTTCTAGAGCGTTTACAAGCTAAAATTTTTACGCGTTTTCAAGAACAAGGGCAACAACTCATACTAAATATTTTTCGATTTTTCTGATTTTCAATAGGGTTTATCCTTGGGTGATAACAAACACTCATGCCAAGTTTCGTCAAAATCCATCAAGAATTGTCCCTTCTAGAGCGTTTACAAGCTAAAATTTTAACGCGTTTTCAAGAACAAGGGCAATAACTCATACTAAATATTTTTCAATTTTTCTGTTTTTCAATACGGTGTATCCAACCAACACTCATGCCAAGTTTCATCAAAATCCGTCAAGAATTGTGCCTTCTAGAGTGTTTACGAACTAAAAATTGAACGCGTTTTCAAGAACAAGGGCAATAACTAATACTAAATATTTGTCAATTTTTCTGATTTTCGATAGGGTTTATCCTTGGGTGATTACAAACACTCACACCAAGTTTCGTCAAAATCCATCAAGAATTGTGCCTTCTAGAGTGTTTACGAACTAAAAATTGAACGCGTTTTCAAGAACAAGGGCAATAACTAATACTAAATATTTTTCAATTTTTCTGATTTTCGATAGGGTTTATCCTTGGGTGATTACAAACACTCACACCAAGTTTCGTCAAAATCCATCAAGAATTGTGCCTTCTAGAGTGTTTACGAGCGTTTCAAGAACAAGGGCAATAACTCATAGTAAATATTTTTCGATTCGTCTGATTTTCAATAGGGTTCATCCTTGGGTGATTGCAAACAACCATACCAAGTTTCGTCGAAATCAGTCAACTTGTGCCTTGTAGAGTGTTTACGAGTAATTGTGGACGGACTGACGGACGGACGGACGGAATGAGGTGACGGCAATATACGCCCCCCATTTCATGTGGGCGTATAAAAAATCATACCTGAAAATATTTCTAAAGTATGCTATATATATCTATATATCTTCTTGATCTAACTAAATTTGTTCTAAAAGGGTTTATTAATGACGGAGAGTACATATTTTTAATTAAGCAGTTTGACCTAGTTTTGGTGTTTGGTTTTATAATGACTGTTATATTTAGATAAAATCTTTAGAAACACATTTCTCTACAACTAGGCGTTTATTTTCTTCAATTACCCAGCTTTCAAAAAGGATAACGAACTTAAAAAACCTTACTTAATGTTTTAAAATATTTTTGGTGTTTAAAAATTAAAGGCAAGATTTTTTTTGTTAAAACTTTCAGATTCGTTATAGTGCACATTTCTCTAGATTTTGGTGTATAGTTTTCATAAATTTGGTCAAATTTTCCCATGACCAGGGAAAGACTTTTTCAAATCAGCAACACTTACTCTAAGATGCTTTCATTAATTTTGATAAGCTTTTAGTGAAACCAATCACAGAGAAAACGTCATTAAAATGTAAATGCAGGCCTAAAATACTTACAGACTTGCACCGGGAGTTGAAGAAATTAAACAGTCAGTAAACATAATATTGAAGATGATATTAATTTAGCGGATTTCCCAGGCCTATTCAAATAATTAACACAGGGAACTCACGTAATTGTTGGTAGTTTACAAATACTTCCTATACATGAAATTAAAGTGAACTGCTTGAGTTTATGATTTAAGCTGAATGTGCATAATTAAAACTAAAACTGGAGTGGGATAGTCATTCATTGCAGTTAAGCGATGTGTTATTTCGAATTAAACAATCTGTAACATACGTGATTTATATTTGAGTCTACCTGATGATGACAGTATCATAAAGACCGATTCTCTATAAACCATCCTCAGGATATTTGTAAATACTAAGTCAAGGAAAGATAACACCCCCACATCTTAAGAACCTTGGATCTCGTTAGTTTAACCAATATAATAGGTACTTTAATAGTTATTTCCCTGACTATCAAATTTAAATTACTCTTTTTCTGTCTAAGGCATTTTACCGATTAAAGGGGAAATATTATTGCACACTTGATAAGGAGGAAACACACAGCTTTGATCTTGGAAGAAGCCCCTTAGACTTAACTTATGAAAGATTTTAGTATTTACCAATCAAAAATACCACGACCATTTTAATATTTTCATTTACTTCCTTGTCAGAATCCTACATGTATAGATGTAACAGTATAAGAGGACATCATACGTTAGTTACTTCTACTTTTAGTTATCTTCTTTAATAAAGCACGTTCAAAATCGTTTTCTATTGCCTTTTACCATCTACCTATGACAGAAGTAGTTGTAATGGAAACGTCTCAACGTTATGCTTTCTTGTGGGCAAGAAGTCGAGAATAGTTATGGTCGCATTCGGCTTCCATATAAAACGCCTTTTGTTGCATTCAGGTACCTTCTGGTTTAAAGAATTAGAACTAGAACGTCAGAATAAAAATTCATACGAATAGCCCTCATGCGTTTAGTTAAAATTTCAAATTTTTTGCAGTGTTTTAAATAGCAAAGGTTTTTGTTAATAAATATAGTACTGAACAATATTGTCTATGTTACTTCTCCGTGAGAAACACCGAATTGATAAACTCAGTCTCAGTGGTATCATGTGTTCCTGAAGGCTGAGCATGTCTGCATCGCTAGCGACCTCCGCCACATTACTTTTTTTTGTTGAGCTTTAAATTTGTATCTTTGCACTGGGGCTTTTAACGCATACGAAAACGAATTTAATTTCACGACCCCACATGATAGAGCAAAAATATAACACAATGTTTTCTAACTTTATTATTTGGAATGAACATTTTTTTCTCGTAGGTGTCTACCCAATCAGAAGCAATCTCCTTACATGCTATTCTGTGAAAATATAATACATACCAGGCAATCACCGATAGAATTATTTTAAACCAAACTAATAACTGCAATAGTTAGACATGTTAATTTGTTTTTTGATTGAATAACAAACATACAGACATAACTACAGGCAAAAACGGTGTTAATTCAGCCTTGATTTCCTACATATTCTTTGAGATATAATCATGATATTTGAGATGACTTCCGTAGTCTCTACTTGCTTGCAGGTAAAGAAACCGTTAATGAAAAAAAAATAGACACAAAACGAAATAATTTAATGCGAAGAAAATCAAAGCAGCAGACAAGCGATGATTAGGGACAGCATCTGTAACCTTCTGTTGAAAAGGTGTTTTATGGCAATGAATCGTGTATATTAGTCCCAAACACTCATTACTCCAGTTGTTCATTTTCGGAAGTTATAATAATATTTTTTGAATATTTCTGATGTGTTCATTTTCAAGTTTTTAAACATCCAAAAATTAATGTCCATGATCAATTTGGGTATTTGAACTCGAATCATTCAACGAGATTCCCTAATAATAAAATTGGGAGGTGTATTCCATGCAGCCAGTCAATTTGATAAAGCTGGAGAGTGTTTTTAAAATACTTGAAACAAGGTAGAATTATTACCTGAGATATTCGATACTTACTACTTTATCATCTGTGCTGCAAAAACACTGAGGTAAAGGAAATGCCAAATCTTTAAGTTAAAGATATAGAACAGATTGAATGTGTTTCTACCACACTAAACGTATAAAGATAATTTGTTTTGGTCCCTCCCAATAGCTGATATAAATCAAATTCTTTTGTTAAAAACTTGAAATAATAACTTTATCTGTTTTCATAAAATAAAATTCAAAAGACCAGAACCTGGTCGGACCATCTACTTTCTGCACCTGGTTGGGTCAATGAAGACGGCAGCGTCATGTTACATTTGCAAGGACAGTGGCATAACTACTCTCTATGTGGACCAAATAGGCGGGATTAAGACAAACCTTTTACAGACTGTCACTCGGAAAATACTTACCTTATATACCTGCTACAGCACTTTTAATGACCAAGGCTTTGCAGAAAAGAAATTTCGTTGTATTTCACTTCCGAAAAAAGGTAAGTCGTATTTCTCGAAAGTTTAAAAAACTTGCCATTTTCTGTTTTCGACTGAAATACACACAGGGCATACTGATTTTTCACCTGATACGAAAATGATACCTCATCGTGGAGTAGGTCTAAATCAGCATTGTTCAGTCTAGCTAATCAAGCCAGGATTGAGACCAAAACTTTGAAAAGTATGCCTAGTGGTAATGAAATGGCCGTAATGATGTGGACAAATTTATTGTCCTGCTTGAGGATCTCTACATAGAGATTGCTGGTGGTTGGTTGGACTGGTGGTGGAAGCAGGAATAGCTTCTTCTGTAGGATAATAAGACAAATGCACCAAGTTAAAGCTTGTTATCTGTACTATGGAATTTGTAGTATTCTAAATGGTCAGATCTTTCAAAGAAACATGCATGCACTTCTTTTCTGCCAATAACAATGCAATCTACATAAGATAATGCTATCGTTGGATTCCAGTGTCAGGGAATTGTCTTGTCCTTGTCCTTCAAAGACTTCCAAGACTTATTAGGAACATTCTATTTTGATGTCTTTGGACGTCATGTATGACACAGAAACCCCAGAGAAGACTGAGCCTTTAGGATTCTAACATGGTAATATCCTAGTACTAGACACTTTTACAATATGCTGTTCATGTATGTCTTTATCGGCTGTCTTGTATGAATTTTTCGTGGCAAAGACAAGAACATTACAGGTTTGTTATCAAATTGTATGAAAAGAACATACAAAGATGACAGAGCAAGACTGGACTTGTTACATGGAAAACAAAATAATATCACATGATGCAATCCCACCAACAAATGCATCACTCATTCAGCATGTTAAAGAGTTTCATCTATCTGCTTCAATAAGATCAGGGATTAGACCCAAACTTTGCCAGGCTGTCGCTCCAAGACAATCCAAGATATAAGCTGCAATTTGAACAACATTTGCAGTTGTAATGTTTCAAATTTTAACCTCGACACAATAACAGAGCCTGTTCTAGCTAAATTTTGTTTGTGAAAAAAAGTAACGAATATTTAGATCCTTTTCTTCCATAAATTGTGTATTTGGGACACTTATTGGCTGGGGTATCACCTTTGACAAACATCATCAACAACGTGATTTGATTTATCATTTAACATAGTAAAAGAATAGCCGGTGACATCTCTAGAAAATTTAATGGTCCCCTGCTTGGCCGCCTCGCCTAATGTTTTCTAAAAACGCCACTGCATAGTCATTTATACTTAAGCTATTCAAATGACCCGATAAAGATTTCAACTCTGGGTGCTTCGACACCTGCCGGTTTGTGTCATTTACGAGGCCTATTGGGGTTCTGTCACTATAGTATTACGTTCCTTTTCTAATTACCGGAAACTGGCTTTTGTCAAGAAGGACATTATGAATGGTCCTGTCTGTATTTCCAGGTGGATATTCGTTGAACTGATCATCTTGCATGTCTACTCTGTAGCAAGATTTTTTCAATTTTTTTTCTTAAATCTTATCGTATTCCCTTCCCCGAAATCTATTGATCATGAAATCTATCCCATTTATATGTTCTATAGCAAACATTTGATCGGTAAGTGATATTAGTGAAATAGAATTCCTTCATGATTCCTATTCATCTGCGGTAATAGACTCATATAAATACCGAAAACCATCACAGGAATGCCTCGAGAAGCCTCTTGGAAAATAAGTATAAAGTACCGTTTTCAGCGGATGACATATTTTTCAAAACAAAACTTAATAATAATAACTTCTTTTGGTGGACAAAGGTTATAAGGGACCTCAAAACTGCAAGAAGAAAAACAAATCCTAAAAGATCAGAATTTATGGTTCTAGATAATTATGTGTTTAACGAGACAGTTACAACGTTTGTAAATATATTGATTCCAAGCTTTACTGACAACTGATGTACACCACGTCATTAATATGTGATTTATATTTCCTATAACAATGTTTGTTCGATTTAGAATACAATTTTAAAAATCTATTTAATATTTGATATAAAATTGGTGTTTTTTACACAATAAAATATTAATATTATTTTAAAATAACTGAATTTGGTTACATTATCAGAAATTATTTATGTGCCTGGACTCTAAAATTGTTTTCTAGAGAAATTCCCATGAAAGACCCAATATGACGAAGGCCCAGATTACAAATGATAGGAAATTACAATGCTGAAGAATTAAGCGACAAGTGAGAATATTATCATGAAATTGGAGTTTCTGCCCAAAATGCCACAGTACATCGATAGAAATCTAGAATATTTAAAAAGATAGAAAAAGCGCAGAAATTCGGAACTTAAAAAATACATTTTATTAGGTTACAAAAAGCAACAAAAGAAACACTTCAATAAAAATAACAAAAGAAGAATAATTTGAAACATTCCTATTGCGAAAACTTGTTAATTAAGTTAAAAACTTAACCAATTCTTATTACTTTTTATACGCCCACATGAATATGTGGTCGTATATTGTCGTCGCCCCTGTCCGTCGGTCCGTCCGTCAACATTTCTTGTGAGCACTATAGAGACTACAGTTTTTATCTGATTTTGATAAAACTTGGTATGATGCTTTAGATTGATAAGATCTCGGTCAAGTTCGAATTTGACATATTTTCGATGAACGGTTTTTGAGATATTGCCCTTGACTTAGAACGCCTTGAAATTTGTTAAAAATTGTTCGTGAGCAGGATTGAAGCTACAGTTTTCATCCGATTCTGATGAAACTTGGTGTGATCATTGGAATTCATAAGATCTCGGACAAGTTCTAACTTGACGCATTTTCGATGAACGGTTTTTGAGTTATTGCCTTGACTTTGTTAAAACGCTTCGAAATTTGTTAAAAATAGTTCGTGAGCAGGATTGAAGCTACAGTTTTCATTGGATTCTGATGAAACTTGGCTAATCATTGGAATTGATAAGATATCGGACAAGTTCTAACTTGACGCATTTGCGATGAATGGTTTTTGAGTTATTGCCCTTGACTTTGTGAAAACGCCTCGAAATTTGTTAAAAATAGTTCGTGAGCAGGATTGAAGCTACAGTTCTCAACCGATTCTGATGAAACTTGGTGTGATCATTGGAATTCATAAGATCTCGGACAAATTCTAACTTGACGCATTTTCGATGAACAGTTTTTGAGTTATTGCCTTTGACTTTGTTAAAACGCGTCAAAATTTGTAAAAAATAGTTCGTGAGCAGGATTGAAGCTACAGTTTTCAACAGATTCTGATGAAACTTGGTGTGATCTTTGGAATTGATAAGATCTCGGACAGGTTCTAACTTGACGCATTTTCGATGAACGGTTTTTGAGTTATTGCCTTTGACTTTGTTAAAACGCGTCGAAATTTGTTAAAAATAGTTCGTGAGCAGGATTGAAGCTACAGTTGTCAACCGATTCTGATGAAACTTGGTGTGATCTTTGGAATTGATAAGATCTCGGACAGGTTCTAACTTGACGCATTTTCGATGAACTGTTTTTGAGTTATTGCCCTTGACTTTTTTAAAACGCGTCGAAATTTGTTAAAAATAGTTCGTGAGCAGGATTGAAGCTACAGTTTTCATCGGATTCTGATGAAACTTGGCATAATCATTGGAATTGATAAGATATCGGACAAGTTCTAACTTGACGCATTTGCGATGAATGGTTTTTGCCCTTGACTTTGTTAAAACGCTTCGAAATTTGTTAAAAATAGTTCGTGAGCAGGATTGAAGCTACAGTTCTCAACCGATTCTGATGAAACTTGGTGTGATCATTGGAATTGATAAGATCTCGGACAAATTCTAACTTGACGCATTTTCGATGAACGGTTTTTGAGTTATTGCCCTTGACTTTGTAAAACGCTTCAAAATTTGTTTGTGAGCACAATAGAAGCTACAGTTTTCAACCGATTTTGATTAAAATTGGTGTGATCAATGGAATTGATGAGATCTCGGACAAGTTCTAACTTGACGCATTTTCGATGAACTTTTTTTGAGTTATTGCCCTTGACTTTGTTAAAACGCGTCTAAATTTGTTAAAAATAGTTCGCGAGCCGGATTGAAGCTACAGTTTTCATCGGATTCTGATGAAACTTGGCATAATCATTGGAATTGATAATATATCGGACAAGTTCAAACTTGACGCATTTGCGATGAATGGTTCTTGAGTTATTGCCCTTGACTTTGTTAAAACGCTTCGAAATTTGTTAAAAATAGTTCGTGAGCAGGATTGAAGCTACAGTTCTCAACCGATTTTGATGGAACTTGGTGTGATCATTGGAATTCATAAGATCTCGGACAAATTCTAACTTGACGCATTTTCGATGAACGGTTTTTGAGTTATTGCCCTTGACTTTGTAAAACGCTTCAAAATTTTTTGTGAGCAGGATTGAAGCTACAGTTTTCAACCGATTTTGATGAAAATTGGTGTGATCAATGGAATTGATGAGATCTTGGACAAGTTCTAACTTGACGCATTTTCGATGAACTTTTTTTGAGTTATCGCCCTTGACTTTGTAAACACGCGTCAAAAGTTGTTTTTTGCCCTTGATTAGAGCTGTGTGATTTAATTGTTTGTTGTATTTGGGTTATTGATATTGAATTTAAAAAATTTTGTGGAATTATTCAGCATAAATAACTGGCATATATATGTAATTGAATTCAAAGTAATAAAATTTCTTCAATATGAGAAGATTCGCACTTTAGTCACTAAAGACTGTTTTATCATTTCTGACAGTATGTTACCTTGCCTCGCAAGCTATCTTTTAAAAAATAATTTGCATCGTGAGATACACATTTCTTGCAATTATGATGACAATTATGCCAAACTTGTTTTTGGATATGTTTCTAAAATTTCTGAATCAGCACATGAAAGTTATAACTGTGTCGTGTGCAAAAATATGCCATGATGACGTTCATGATACACAGATGTTGAAATTATTCATGTTCTTGTTTTATATATTTTTAAAACATCCGGTTAAATTAGTATAAATACCAGCAATATGGTTCATAATTTCATATTAGATTAGATAATAAAATTATACTAATCATGTTGTCACTTCGATTACTCGTCGTTGTCGCGGCTCTCCTGGTTTTATTACAAGTTGTTGACTCTTCTCCCAATGGTCCGAGACGTCCTGACCGTAGACGTTTCCCCTATAAATATCATGACAGGAGTAAGTATGTCTTGTTTTATCACTCTAATATTATCAGTAATGTCACTTAATGGATCATTGTTACACTTAAACCCTTCAAGAAACCCGTCAAATTTGTTATTCTGAAAGTTCAAAATGTACGTCATTGATTAACATTGTTTGATGAAGGTACTAAAATCTAGTTTTCGCTTACGAATCAAGTTTTCCTGCAACCTCAGTTTTCAGGCGATTCGAAATTTGCATCATAGACTTACTGCCTAACACCCATTTCACCAGGGTTGTTTTGTCCAATCGGCTAGATTTGTACCTGATTGTCCCCGATGATTAATGGTTTGATCGGCCCGATTGTCGTCTTAAATCGGATCAAATCGTTCCCTTTTTTCACCCGATTGAGTTCCGACCACGATCGATTTTGCGTTCGTACACGGCAATTGCCTGGTAGAGACCCGCTTCTCACCACAAGTTGTTCAATCGGTAGTGGCCGAATGTAGGCGTAGGTTGACTAAGGAAGCCATTGAAACCAAAATAAAGGACCTTTCCAAAGAATGTTTTGGCCCGACCATTTTTTGGTCGATCGGCCGTATTTTTGGGCAAAAAGTCGGGATTCTGTGAGCACTCTCAAGCACTCCGAGGGTATCGAAAAAGAGACCGGCTACTGTTTATAAACATGTTGAAAAAAAGAAACGATTGGAGGCGATTTGGGACGATGACAGGAGTTTCAGGACGACGATCGAGCTGATAAAAAAATTAAATTAATCTGGTATAATCTGGTATAATCTGGTCCATTCCGAGACGACTGTACCCTATCCTCAGAGTCCATCGCTCCAGAGCTTGCAGGTTCACGACTTTTTTGCCAAACTGAGGCCGATCGACCACAGATTAGATCGGGTTCTTACAGGACCAGGGTATAATGGGTCTCTGACATGTTTCTAAGATTTTTTTCTATTTTAGTTTGTGATGATTATCACCTTCCTGCCCACGCCGAATGGGTTATTACTGAAGACTGTGACAAGTATAATAGACCATTCAAATGTTCTGACGGCTATCATCTGAAAGTTACCACAGTATGTCACTATGGGAAATGGAAGTTGGAATACGCCTGTGTAGAAGAAAGTCCATGGTCGGGTAAGATAGAAATTTCTTTCTTGAATGATGTTTTACTTACTTACTTTCTGTACTTGATAAGGCGAATGAAAACAGGCAATGTTATGATGAAGCAAATAGAAAGATAATCTATGTACCATTTATTTTGTAACTTTAATATTTTATTTTATTTCAGGGTAAACAACAAATCACCGGTTAAGCTTTGATGACCTACTGGTAATAAAATATTAGAATAGGAATACAGATATGTGTTATTTCATATTGCGTTTCCAAACACAGCCTACATGAAGGGATTACATTGAAAGGACCACTCAAGGTGTGAATAGATTGGATATAGTAGGGCTATAATAATAATAATAATTTTTTGCATTTCGCCCAACTTATATACATACAAACATAATAAATAAACAACAATTATATAAGTAATATAAAATTTAGAAAGATTTATAATATCAAATTTACTCAAAAGAACTGGAAACTGCAGGTACTATTTCATTTATCGCATTCGAACAGAGCACTGATCTGGACACCATACCTCGCTCTTTCTACCTTTTACATGTTGTTACCCTTATGTATACCTCAATAACAACCATATAAGGAAATTAATAGAAACATTTTTCTCCCACAAGATCTCTTAGATCTCTCTCTCTCTATAAAGACACTTCAAAACACAGCATATGTCTTCCATCAAGAAATGAACCTTTTTCAAGACCACTGCCCTGCCATTTCCATTTGCCAATTAAAGCAATAAAGTTCACTGTATGTCATGGGTAATTATAGTTTCTTACAGATTTTCAGAACGCTTTGGGAGGGGAATTTCAAATCCTCTTTTTTTGAGTTAAATTATACATTTGTCCCGTGGCTGTATAACCGATTCAACACAAAGCATGAATCCCACGAATCGCCACGATTTGTTATTATAAGGATTCTTGAGGATTCGTGGAAGTCTAACATATACGTTGGTTCACTTTGCGAGGCTCTATGATCTAGTTACGATACAGGTACAATAGAGTTACGAATATTCGTGGGATTGGGCTGGATTAGCATGAATATTATCAAGAATTCACTACGATTTTCAAAAAGCTTTTACGAATACTGCACGAATGTTAAGAAACTGTAACGAATCGACTAAGAATAGGCCGAACGCAAGTACGAATTAGGTACGAATAAAAATGAATTCCCCCAACATAGCTATAAAAATGTCCATGCTTGGACATAACAGAATAGCTAAGAATGCTTACGAATTGATTACTTTGAACAGCTCAAAACTTTTGCCACGAATTTCCGATAGTTCTAGAATTGTAAGGACTAAATACGAATATATACGAATCAGTTAAGAATTTCACCAACTAATTATGATTCAATTGAGAATCCTAAAGTTTATCAATTCGTTACCTCTGTGGAAGAGTAGCATTAGGGGTCAGAGTATGTATGTAACTTTCTCATACGCTGGTAATTCTTCAAACAATAAAATTCTAAGGTCTTTAATTCTTATTTTTGAATATATTTCTTAATATATCTGATTATTGTATTATGTCGAATTGGTTACAGATTGGAATCCAGTTGGTTGACAAATATCCTAATCCTTAATTTGGTTAAAAGGGAGAATGACATGTATTAGTAAGATTAGTAAAAGTTTGTCATTTTAAGGCTTTGTTTGCTTTCTTTATTTTACACGATTGCATCTTAGATTTTTAGGAAACATTAAATTATTTCAAGGGTGCAGAATCTCTAATGCATCGAATCCATCAATCGTTTTTGACGGTGTTAATAGAAAATTGTGATAGATCAGATCATCATTCAAGAATCGTATGCCCTACAACACAGCTTTAACCCCCCGTGATTTCTCAATTTCAATGATGTAGATCTGAAAGAACGGTAAAAGAGAATACCGGTTGTTATTTGGATGTGGAAGTGAACCAAGGCCCCGTTACGCAGCTGTGATAAAGAATCACTTGATATAAAAAAAAGTAGTTTATATAGCTAGCCTTAAAAAAATTTCCCATTGCTAACTTGTTGGGATTGGCAGTCCTCATTGGTTTATAGGGGGAGTAAACTCCATCTCACAACATGCCCTTCCTGATATTTCACACAGGATATTATTCACTGTCAATAATAATAATAAATCTTACTGTTTACCAGAATGTATCAATGTATTATTCAAATTGTAAATTCTGTCTTTCGTGACTTTTACATCGGCCATTGTCATGCTTTTTATCAATTATTATATTGTTGGCGCAACCGTTCACCTGGATGGTTTTCTCTTTCAGATATACTTTCTGGATCTGGAGGTTCCGGGGCTAGTTCTATGTACTGGATGTCATTACACAAGATTCTGTTGATGAACGTCATTGTTTACATTCTTCATTAATCATTTTAAATGTTTTTAATGACCAAGAGCAATATTCATGTATATGAAATAAATATTTAACATCAAGATTACATTTTTTAGACAAATGTTGTTGGGCCACTTTCTAAGTCCCGGTTGTGGTACAGATATAAAGGAATAGGTACTCAAAGTCTTCGTACACGTATATTTATCATCAATACTTCTCGTCAGCGTTAAGGCATCTTGTTCGACAGCAAAGAAGCGAATTTTGCCCGGGCGGAAACGCTCATGGACATGTAGATAGAGGTAAATCAGTTTATTACCTCTATCATGTTCAGATTGAGGAGAAATCTAATATGATGGATTGATGGAACCTTTACAAATCAGAAATTGACACTGGACAGTCATTATAATATTTGTGTGTTGGGATCTGGGATATCAGGTTTGCTGTAATATCTTCGAACTTGGGTCTTAATTTAACAGAAACGTGTGTTATCTCCCATTTTCTATATTTGCCTCATCAAAATCTCAAATTAGTGTTCGTCGATGAATCCGATAAAGCAATATTTCTAATCCTTCAGCCAGTGAATGATAACCAGGTCTTTGATAGGTGTAGTATTCAATATAGTTCTCGAACAGAGTTTATTTCATTATCAAAAACGTCGTAAATTATATCTGAAAATATTTTTAAAGTATGCTGTATATATCTATGTATCTTCTTGTTCTAAAAGGGTTTATTAATGATGGAGAGTACTTATTGTTAATTAAGCAGTTTGACCTAGTTTTGGTGTTTGGCTTTATAATGACTCGTTATATTTAGATAAAATCTTTCAGATACGTTAAAGGGCACATTTCTATAGATTTTGGTGTAAAGTTTTCATAAATTTGGTCAAATTTTCTTATGACCAGGGAAAGACTTTTTCAAATCAGCAACACTTGCTCTAAGATATTTTCATTAATTTTGATAAACTTTTAGTGAATCCAATCACAGAGAAAACGTCATTAAAATGTAAATACACAGGGAGTTTAAGAAATTAAACCATGAGTAAACATAATATTGAAGATAATATTAATTTGGCGGACTTCCTAGGCCTATTCAAATAATAAACACAGGGATAATTGTTGGTAGTTTAGTAAAGAACACTTTAAGTGTTTCAAATACTATAAAAATGTGCATAATTAAAACTAAAACTGGAGTGGGATAGTCATTCATTGCAGTTAAGCGATGTGTTATTTCGAATTTGACAATCTGTAACATACGTGATTTATATTTGAGTCTACCTGATGATGACAGTATCATAAAGACCGATTCTCTATAAACCACCCTCAGGATATTTGTAAATACTAAGTCAAGGAAAGATAACACCCCCACATCTTAAGAACCTTGGATCTCGTTAGTTTAACCAATAGAATAGGTACTTTAATAGTTATTTCCCTGACTATCAAATTTAAATTACTCTTTTTCTGCCTAAGGCATTTTACCGATTAAAAGGGAAATATTATTGCACACTTGATAAGGAGGAAACACACAGCTTTGATCTTGGAAGAAGCCCCTTAGACTTAACTTATGAAAGATTTTAGTATTAACCAATCAAAAATACCACGACCATTTTAATATTTTCATTTACTTCCTTGTCAGAATCCTACATGTATAGATGTAACAGTATAAGAGGACATCATACGTTAGTTACTTCTACTTTTAGTTATCTTCTTTAATAAAACACGTTCAAAATCGTTTTCTATTGCCTTTTACCATCTACCTATGACAGAAGTAGTTGTAATGGAGACGTCTCAACGTTATGCTTTCTTGTGGGCAAGAAGTCGAGAATAGTTATGGTCGCATTCGGCTTCCATATAAAACGCCTTTTGTTGCATTCAGGTACCTTCTGGTTTAGAGAATTAGAATTAGAACGTCAGAATAAAAATTCATACGAATAGCCCTCATGCGTTTAGTTTAAATTTCAAATTTTTTGCATTGTTTTAAATAGCAAAGGTTTTTGTTAATAAATATAGTACTGAACAATATTGTCTATGTTACCTCTCCGTGAGAAACATCGAATTGATAAACTCAGTCTCAGTGGTATCATGTGTTCCTGAAGGCTGAGCATGTCTGCATCGCTAGCGACCTCCGCCACATTACTTTTTTTTGTTGAGCTTTAAATTTGTATCTTTGCACTCGGGCTTTTAACGAGTTACGAAAACGGATTTAATTTCACGACCCCACATGATAGAGCAAAAATATAACACTTTTTTTTTTAACTTTATTATTTGGAATGAACATTATTTTCTCGTAGGTGTCTATCCAATCAGAAGCAATCTTCTTACATGCTATTCTGTGAAAATATAATACATACCAGGCAATCACCGATAGAATTATTTTAAACCAAACTAATAACTGCAATAGTTAGACATGTTGATTTGTTTTTTGATTGAATAAGAAACATACAGACATAACTGCAGGCAAAAAACGGTGTTAATTCAGCCTTGATTTCCTACATATTCTTTGAGATATAATCATGATATTTGAAATGACTTCCGTAGTCTCTACTTGCTTGCAGGTAAAGAAACCGATAATGAAAAAAAAATAGACACCAAACGAAATAATTTAATGCGAAGAATATCATGAGTTCAAAATCAAAGCAGCAGACAAGCGATGATTAGGGACAACATCTGTAATCTTCTGTTGAAAAGGTGTTTCATGGCAATGAATCGTGTATATTAGTCCCAAACACTCATTTCTCCAGTTGTTCATTTTCGGGAGCTATAATAACATTTTTTGAATATTTCTGGTGTGTTCATTTTCAAATTTTTAAACATCCAAAGATTAATGTCGATGATCACTTTGGGTATC